GTTGGAAATCTTTAACCTTCGATATCTCCTAAACGGTTAGAGATACAGGCTTCGGACAGGTACCAAATTAAAGCCCTTTCAAAACCCTACATTTTGGACTACATGGACGACTCTCTACTCCCAGTAGAAGCGGAGATATCGACGGAGAAAGGTTGGAAAACTTTAAACTTCGATATCTCCTAAACGGTTAGAGATACAGGCTTCGGACTGGTACCAAATTAAAGCCCTTTCAAAACCCTACATTTTGGACTACATGGACGACTCTCTACTCCCAGTAGAAGCAGAGATATCGACGGATGAAGGCTGGATATCGACGGAGAAAGGTTGGAAAACTTTAACCTTCGATATCTCCTAAACGGTTAGAGGTACAGGCTTCGGACAGGTACCAAATTAAAGCCCTTTCAAAACCCTACATTTTGGACTACATGGACGACTCTCTACTCCCAGTAGAAGCGGAGATATCGACGGAGAAAGGTTGGAAAACTTTAAACTTCGATATCTCCTAAACGGTTAGAGATACAGGCTTCGGACAGGTACCAAATTAAAGCCCTTTCAAAACCCTACATTTTGGACTACATGGACGACTCTCTACTCCCAGTAGAAGCGGAGATATCGTCCGAGAAAGGTTGGAAATCTTTAAACTTCGATATCTCCTAAACGGTTAGAGATACAGGCTTCGAACAGGTACCAAATTAAAGCCCTTTCAAAACCCTACATTTTGGACTATATGGACGACTCTCTACTCCCAGTAGAAGCGGAGATATCGACGTATGAAGGCTGGATATCGACGGAGAAAGGTTGGAAAACTTTAACCTTCGATATCTCCTAAACGGTTAGAGATACAGGCTTCGGACAGGTACCAAATTAAAGCCCTTTCAAAACCCTACATTTTGGACTACATGGACGACTCTCTACTCCCAGTAGAAGCGGAGATATCGACGGTTGAAGGCTGGATATCGACGGAGAAAGGTTGGAAATCTTTAACCTTCGATATCTCCTAAACGGTTAGAGATACAGGCTTCGGACAGGTACCAAATTAAAGCCCTTTCAAAACCCTACATTTTGGACTACATGGACGACTCTCTACTCCCAGTAGAAGCGGAGATATCGACGGAGAAAGGTTGGAAAACTTTAATCTTCGATATCTCCTAAACGGTTAGAGATACAGGCTTCGGACTGGTACCAAATTAAAGCCCTTTCAAAACCCTACATTTTGGACTACATGGACGACTCTCTACTCCCAGTAGAAGCAGAGATATCGACGGATGAAGGCTGGATATCGACGGAGAAAGGTTGGAAAACTTTAACCTTCGATATCTCCTAAACGGTTAGAGATACAGGTTTCGGACAGGTACCAAATTAAAGCCCTTTCAAAACCCTACATTTTGGACTACATGGACGACTCTCTACTGCCAGTAGAAGCGGAGATATCGACGGTTGAAGGCTGGATATCGACGGAGAAAGGTTGGAAATCTTTAACCTTCGATATCTCCTAAACGGTTAGAGATACAGGCTTCGGACAGGTACCAAATTAAAGCCCTTTCAAAACCCTACATTTTGGACTACATGGACGACTCTCTACTCCCAGTAGAAGCGGAGATATCGACGGAGAAAGGTTGGAAAACTTTAAACTTCGATATCTCCTAAACGGTTAGAGATACAGGCTTCGGACAGGTACCAAATTAAAGCCCTTTCAAAACCCTACATTTTGGACTACATGGACGACTCTCTACTCCCAGTAGAAGCGGAGATATCGACGGAGAAATGTTGGAAAACTTTAACCTTCGATATCTCCTAAACGGTTAGAGATACAGGCTTCGGACAGGTACCAAATTAAAGCCCTTTCAAAACCCTAAATTTTGGACTACATGGACGACTCTCTACTCCCAGTAGAAGCAGAGATATCGACGGATGAAGGCTGGATATCGACGGAGAAAGGTTGGAAAACTTTAACCTTCGATATCTCCTAAACGGTTAGAGATACAGGCTTCGGACAGGTACCAAATTAAAGCCCTTTCAAAACCCTACATTTTGGACTACATGGACGACTCTCTACTCCCAGTAGAAGCGGAGATATCGACGGATGAAGGCTGGATATCGACTGAGAAAGGTTGGAAAACTTTAACCTTCGATATCTCCGAAACGGTTAGAGATACAGGCTTCGGTCAGGTACCAAATTAAAGCCCTTTCAAAACCCTACATTTTGGACTACATGGACGACTCTCTACTGCCAGTAGAAGCGGAGATATCGACGGAGAAAGGTTGGAAAACTTTAACCTTCGATATCTCCTAAACGGTTAGAAATACAGGCTTCGGACAGGTACCAAATTAAAGCCCTTTCAAAACCCTACATTTTGGACTACATGGACGACTCTCTACTCCCTGTGGAAGCGGAGATATCGACGGAGAAAGGTTGGAAAACTTTAACCTTCGATATCTCCTAAACGGTTAGAGATACAGGCTTCGGACAGGTACCAAATTAAAGCCCTTTCAAAACCCTACATTTTGGACTACATGGACGACTCTCTACTCCCAGTAGAAGCGGAGATATCGACGGATGAAGGCTGGATATCGACGGAGAAAGGTTGGAAAACTTTAACCTTCGATATCTCCTAAACGGTTAGAGATACAGGCTTCGGACAGGTACCAAATTAAAGCCCTTTCAAAACCCTACATTTTGGACTACATGGACGACTCTCTACTCCCAGTAGAAGCGGAGATATCAACGGAGAAAGCTTGGAAAACTTTAACCTTCGATATCTCCTAAACGGTTAGAGATACAGGCCAGGTTCTGGCACCAAATTAAAGTCCTCTCAAAACCCTACATTTTGCCGTAAGTGACGACTCTCTACTCCCAGTAGAAGCGGAGATATCAACGGAGAAAGCTTGGAAAACTTTAACCTTCGATATCTCCTAAACGGTTAGAGATACAGGCCTGGTTCTGGCACCAAATTAAAGTCCTCTCAAAACCCTACATTTTGCCGTAAATGGCGACTCTCTGCTCCCAGTGGAAGCGGAGATATTAACGGAGAAAGGTTGGAAAACTTTGACCGTCGATATCTCCTAAACGGTTAGAGATACAGGCCTGGCTCTGATACCAAAATAAAGTCCTCTCAAAACCCTACATTTTCGACTACAATTACGACTCTCTACTCCCAGTAAAAGCGGAGATATCAACATTCGGGCCGAGGGACATGGAAATATTCGTCTCGTGGGACGAAAATCGGCGAGAACTCTTTCAATTTTGGTTTTAGCGCTCCGAGTGTTAATAATAATCTTCAGAGTTCATGCCGAGCTAACCAGAACTCTGAATGGAACGTCGGATTTCCGAAAAAATCTTTCGTTCCGAGGGACATTGAAATATTCGACTCGAGGGACAAAAATCGGCGACAACTCTTTCAATTTTGGTTTTAGCGTTCCGAGTGTTAATAATAATCTTCAGAACTCGTGAGGGGCTAACCAGAACTCTGAATGAAACATCGGATTTCCGAAAAAAAATTTTACGTGTTTAATAAACAATCAATTTTTTTGGAAATCCGATGTTTTATTCAGAGTTCTGGTTAGCCCCTCACGAGTTCTAAAGGTTATTATTAACACGCGACGCGCTAAAACCAAAATCGATGGAGTTCTTGCCATTTTTCGTTTTCTAATTCGAGAATTTTAAATATAATTTTTCTTATTGTTTTAAACAGAACTATTTTTAAAACTTATCTAGAACTGTAGAACTTAAAAATCTATCTAGAACTCTAAAAAAATTGTCATTTTTTACATAATGAGGAGCGTCGTGAAGTTGGCCCTCCGATTTTTAAAATGATATTTTCTCTACTTTAAATGACGGAACTCTTTCTATAAAAGATTGCGAACTCTAGAACTCTGCGAGGGGCATTCAGAACTCTAATAATTTTTTTCTAATTTGAAGAATGAAGGGCCATCTTCACAGAGGTGATGGAGCGAACACTTTCTCTGTCTCTCTCTCTCTCTCTTTTGCTTGGCTTGTCAAAACAAGGAGCGGAGGGCGGGACTTCAGACGGATAGACGGGAGCGGTTTCTCTGTGTGTGTGTGCCGACTACATTCTTACATAGAAACGTACGGCAATTGAAAATGTTTAAGTATATACCCTGAGATTCTATCTGTTGCGTATGACACGTGTGAGTGTGTGTGTGTGTGTGAGTGCGTATATGCACACGTACGTCACGCACACTTTCAATGCAACACATGCACACGGACACAACTGCGCTAAAAAACGCCTGTCGGAGTATAAATAAATACTAACGTAACGCTGAAATATTTTGGAAAAATAATTTTGGGTACACACAAAATATTATCTTATTATCATATATTTATATATCGATATAAATCGTATATAATCTTCATGATATTAATCATATACAATCTCAATTCTTATTTTTTTTGTGCATGTTAACATGTTAATTCATGTTACAAATGCATAACAATGTGCGAGACCGTGCTTGTCAAGTACGCTATTATGGTTGTAGCACGGACATAAATCGCCTGAAAGTCGATGTAGCACGGACAGCCACCAGATGTAGGTTTTACCGTCGAGACCTAAAAGTGGATGTAGCATCGTAGTTCCCCTCTCAAAATGGATGTAGGTAGCGCCCATTCCCAGTGCGAAAAATCGGTGTCGCCGTGTTGGCCGCTCTCAGCTTCCTCTCTGGTACTACAACCGCTCACTGAGCGCTAAATGAGCTCTTGCATCTGATTGGTGTATATTTTTAAATCTAAAGGTATATACCAATCAGATGCAAGAGCTCACTTAGCGCTCAGTGAGCGGTTGTACTACTGAATGCACCCATTATAATAGTGAGTCTGTTTTTAAAGCCAGCGGCACATGGTGCTTGTTTTTGTACTAGATTACTTGCTGGATGAAAATATTGCGTTCTGATTGGTACATTTCCGAAGATGGAAATGCACCAATCAGAACGCAGTATTTTCATCCAGCAAGCAATCCAGCACGAAAATAAGCACCGTGTGCCACTGGTTTTAACAGTCACATCGCGGCTATGATCAGGTCTCTCAGGCTTGCTTTTGCTATCAGTCGCAAGTTACAAGCGTCGAGTACCGATGTGAGAGTTTCACGGAACACGGCGCGGCTTTGAGGTTAATTCTCGCCGTTCGCTGCGAAACACATGAGTTATCGATCAAGTACCCGCGGCATTTAGCGCGGCCGTTGCACGCTCTCTTACTGGCCCGCGAGTGTGACAATGCTAACGAACAGATCGGCGTGTCGCAATAGGTTAAGATCTCGCCGGAATCCCGTCGGTCGTACCGCCAGTGAACAGCCGCAGCAACAGTGACGTTCAACGACACTGAAGCGACGAAGATGAGCCGGCTATGGAATTATTTGGTATTTCAAGCATGGATGTCCTATCTAATGGCAGCCGGGCTGTTGGTCTTCACCAGTGGCTTCCTGCTGAATCGTGTCTCCCGACCGGAGCGCGCTGAGTGTGCGCGCTGTATGCCGGACGCCGGTTGCGATGTCGCCGGTATCCTTCAGGACACGGACCACGCCGCTGAGGTATGCCTGGAGCGGAAAGCGCGGGTCGTGCTGTTGATCGTCGACGCGCTCAAGTACGAGTTTGCCGAGTGGTACGACGACGACGTCTCCATGTCCAGCTATCATCGCAACAAGCTGCCGGTCATTCACGAGCTGCTGCAGAAGCAGCCGTCGCACTCGCGTCTCTACAGGTTCGTGGCCGACCCGCCTACCACGACTATGCAGCGGCTCAAGGGCCTGACTACTGGCTCATTGCCCACCTTCATTGAGGTCGGCTCGAACTTCGCGTCCGGGTACATTAACGAGGACAATCTGATCGACCAAAACGCCGCCGATGGTATCGTCTTCATGGGCGACGATACGTGGACCAATCTGTTTCCGGGTAAGTTCATGAGGCAGTTCCCTTCACCGTCCTTCAACGTCTGGGACTTGGACAGCGTGGACAAGAACGTGCAATACCGTATCTTCTTCGAGATGAAGAAGAAGGATTGGTCCTTGCTGATAGCGCACACGCTAGGGGTCGATCATTGCGGACACAAGCACGGTACGCAACATCCGGAGATGTCCAGGAAACTCAAGGACACAAACAAGCTCATCACGGAGATCGTGGAGTCCCTGGAGAAGGATATGATGCTCTTCATCATTGGAGATCACGGTATGACGGAGACGGGAGATCATGGTGGGGACAGCCCGAGCGAGATCGAGGCTGCGATGTTTGTCTACTCGACGACTCCGTTGGTCAAAGGATTCGCGATCAACAGTAGCAACAGCGTGAACCAGGTTGACCTAGTTCCCACCTTATCGTCGATTCTCGGCACGCCGATTCCCTTCTCCAATCTAGGCTCCGTGATACTCGATTGTCTGCCGAGTCAGACGGTGGCCACTGATCGTTTGTTACATCCGTTGCAGTCGCTCTGGCGAAACATCGCTCAGACGAAGAGGTACATAGAGATATACTCCGCAGATGCGAACCTGTTCTCGAAGGAGCAGTTGCAGAATTTGGATCACGTGTACAGTCTCTTGTCAGAGCGCGTGAAACACGTGGACAGTCCGGAGGAGCTCGAGGCGTTCGTCCGCGAGACCAAGGGCTACTTCAAACTGCTGAAGGACACGTGCTCGGAGGTATGGGTCCAATTCGACTCTGGTCTGATCTCCAAAGGTCTGCTGCTGATGTTCTGCTCCTTGTTCTTCTTCTACCTCTTCGTTACCGGCATCCCCGAGAGTCGCATGTGCGACATCTTCAAATCCTCGTTTCTACAATGCGCGGTGATCGCGAATCTGATCACCGTGACGATTACTACATGTCTCTTCTTACTGGACGTGCTGGAGGAGCTGAAGAACATGATCTTCTTCGCCACCGGCGCGGTCTCCATCGGCTTCCTCGTACTGGTGATCGCTCAGAATTGGGACGTAATCTCGATGTGTTGGTATGAACATCGTAGGATTAAGCTGTTGACCTACGTGTCCAGAATAATACTGCTATTGACGGTGTGCGGGCTCTTCTCCAATAGCTACATAGTCGAGGAGGACAAGGTATTGTCCTTCTTGATCATTACGCTTCTCTGCCTGCTGGTGTTCGACCTGAGGAGGAGCGATTCCGACAGCGGTGCCGAGAGGAAGACCAGCAGGTTCTTCGGCTCGAGGCCGTCGAGGCCGAATTTCCGCACGATCGTGTTGGTCGTCGGTCTGGTGGCGTGCGTCTCGGTGAGGCTGTCGCACTACTTCTGGCGTTGCCGGGAGGAGCACCTGCAGCGTGCGTGTTCCACCAACGCCACCGGCAAGGTCGATTGGTCCACGGTGTCGAATAATTGGGAGCGTGTCTTACCCGCCGTGGTGATCCTGGCGTTGTACGTGACGGTAGTGAGACTTTGGCTGCGGGATCGTGGGAACCTTACCGGCTTCGCCCCCAGCGTCATGGTAGGCCAATACTGCTCGATCCTCATCGGCGTCTGCATCAGTTGCTACTGGGTCCTGCAGAAGCTGCCCAAGTCCTACAAGGTGAAGTTCGTGTTGTCCTGGCAGGTGAATAACGTGCCGAACGTGGTTTACTTTCTCTGCGTGCTCGCGATCCTTGTTCTCTACTATCGTCCGCTCAGCATCTACGTGCTGCCGAAAAAGCGGGAATCCATCGAGGTGTACCGCGAGGAGAATCTGGTGCCGCGCTTGTTCGAGAAGATCAAGGACTCGATCTCCCGCAAGCGGATAGACACCGACGACACTCCGGTCATCTGCGGTATCGGGACCACCTACAGCGCCGCGTTCATCTCCCTCAGCGTATTCCTCACGTTGCTGTACTCCTTGTTACTGGGAGACTCTCTGTCGCCCAGCACGTTCTTGATGGTTGTGACGTGCACCGCCGTGTTGGGTTTGTCCGCGATCGAGAGATATAAAAACGCTAATACTATCTGTAAGTATGCAGTGCTAAATATGTACGTCTATTTATCTGTTTAGGGCGCACAATGTGTCTCTTGTGGAAAACTCTAAAAGGGCGTAACTTTTTTGTGTTGAAAATTATTTATGAAAATGTTCTTTTGTTAATTACTTTTAACGGACGATGAGTAATGGCTAAAACCTCTTTAAGGGCACTTGAAGTCATGACGAAATATATCAATGCCAAGGTCATTAGGGCTGGATTCTTTTTTTGTAAACATTTTCATTTTTACAAAATAGTCGACATGTACTCCAATTTATAAAAAAAAAATATATACATATATATTTTTTTTTTATAAATTTGTATTTCAATTTATAAAGAATATATTGATAAATTTTTTATAAAAATTACTACGAGAACAAATTCTGTATAGTGACGAGACAACTCAAATCTGTTTAAATGAACTCAATTTCAGGGTTATGTATGATGAAAATCATTCGCCTTAATTTTTTAACAAAATTTTTGTGTCTCTCATCTCTGCTTTTGTGTGGAATGGACTGAAATTTTGTGCTCGGAATACATATCTCAGGTATCTAATTCTTGACTTTTCAAACGATCTTTTTCGCATCGCGCAGCTGAACTGCTCGACGTTTCCATGCCCGTGCTTCTCTGCTGGTTTTTACTGGCGGAATATTTTTTCTACGGGACCGGTCACCAGGCGACGTTCCCCACTATTCATTGGCATGCCGCTTTCGTAGGAACCGGCGGCCACTTTTACGGGCATCTAATGTCTGCGATTTTGATCGGTAAGCTGTCTATAACCTGCGGACTTCATTTGAGAATTTCCGCCCCTACTATTGGAAAAGTCACATGGAAGATAACTCGTAGGTATCAACACGTTCGGCTCGCATATTATCTTGGGAGTGACATTGCCGCTATTGGTGATAGTGCCGTTCACCCTGCACCTGGTGTTTCCAAAGTTCCTCAAGGCCAAGTTTCTCGAGGACGATATGAAGAGGGGTGAACTGCTCTTCCTCTTGTCCGAGCAGGATTCTGCCTTTCAAGCTGCGATTTTCTCGGTCGCCGGGAAATACGTGTTGCTTCACGGCATCCGGGTACGTAATGTATCGCGTAAGATCAACGAAATCAAGTCGAAATTGCCTCATTTTGTTCAAAGTAAAGGCAAAAGCGACATAAATATATGTACTCTCGAACAAACTCAACTGCATGTTGTACCTCTTTCCTCCAGACTTTCGGCAGTATGTTAGCAGCGACTATACACTGTCGACATTTGATGGTCTGGAAGATCTTTGCGCCAAAACTGATATTCGAGGGACTGGGATTCCTGGTGACGCTGTGCAGCGTGCTCGCGTCCTTCTATCTGGTCTTTCGCATCGAGCAACAGATGGAGTACATCATTACAAGAATCACGAAAGGCAGATGATAGTGACTCACTGGCGTGAACGGTGTTATAGTACAATCGGATAGCAAAGTACCAAAGTCGTAAGTCGACACACCTCACTTTTGCCCGAAAGTCACCCGAAAGTGGCTCGTTACTTACGCGCGAATTATAACGCGAGATTATGTTCTCGGCGATTCGAAGTATTGTCATCCAGCGCGACCCAACTTGAGTACCTGCTTGAAATATTGCAGAACAAATGCGTTATTCGAAAAAAAGAAATGTTTCGAGCAAAAGCCTGAACAAAATCGGACCAAGGTCACTGTCTTATTCCCACCCCACCCCTCCGCCCTTAAAACCAAACAACTTTTGTCTGAAACTTTTCTTCGAATAACGCATTTCTTTCAAGATATTCTACGTGGGCATTTTAAATGGGTCATCCTATATACACATATATATAGAACGGAAGAGCGGGCAACACACAAGTCTCTATACTTACCACGATACTGCCAATATTTCCACAATTTTGTATGAAAGTACGACGAGATAGGGAAAGGTAGAAAGAGAAAGAGAGAAGACAATGAGGGATGATGCGAAGTCGGATATAGATATATACCTAGCGTAAATTGTAAGCGACGTTTTTCGTACGGAAGTAACCTTCAGTAACTCTCCACTCGTTGCTCGAGATATTAACTCTAGTTCACCTCTCTCTCTCTCTCTCTCTCTCTCTCTCCTATAGGGACGCTATAACGTCGTATAACCGACTGTGATGCTTCCTAACACACTAACGCTACCCTGCGTGCAATGCATTGCTGATTGTAGAACGAACGAAGCAACGCACTTGATGCAGGATTGCGTCCGTGTGCCGCGGTGTCTGCACGACTGATGAGCGCATCGGTGTGTGCGGCTGATATACTTTTAGTGAGTACGACATTAGGCTAGATTGTTAGTTGACCGTTAGTATATCCACCTTTCGTACCCCTCGGTACAGTATTTCGTAGGGGAGGTGTCTCATGTGCTGCGACCGCGATGAGGAACGAACTCTGTGCAATAAATTCGGCGTTTCAGAACAATTCTTTTCGTACACACATACATGTACACGTACAAATCTTCGGATATTTTTGTGGACGACTCCGTTGACAAGAGCACTGCTCTCTTTCTCTCTCTCTCTCTCTCTCTCTCTCTCTCTCTCTCTCTCTCTCTCTCTCTCTCTCTCTCTCTCTCTCTCTCTCTCTCTCTCTTTCTCTTTCTCTCCATCTTCGTTTCATGTTGCTAGATATGTTTACTTTATTGGTAATAACGCACGCCCTCGTGTACACGTTTACTTTTACACGTTTGGAACAATAATTGGCATTTCGTAAGAATATTTCTCGTCGAGATCCGTTCACGGGAGAGAATTTTTACGACGAGAAAGAGAAATAGTCCTGCTGGCTGAGTGGCCTAATGGTGGTTATGATGGTGCCTATGACTCTCTTGATCCTGATACGCATTCTTGTGATACTGCATCCAGTCAAGCCACTTGCCGTTTAAGTTTCCATAAGCGTTAGGTCCCTGCGACAGATGAGAACACGCCCGCGATATTCATGAATTCGGAACATTTGCACCGCGTACTTAAGTGTAATTAATACTTTGAGAAGAGTCAGGCGATTTAGGCATTTGTATCTGAAAGCAGACGAAGTTATCACACATTTTACGGTGCGCTCTACGTCTGGTCGATTCGTCGGGCGAGATTCGTCGGGTAACGACTACGTGACTTCCCGTTTCCCGCTTCGAGTGCAGGCGTTTCTTTCTTTTCTTTTGTACATAGGCTTCCAAAGTGTCGCGTAGCGCGCTTGTACGTTACAGCGCAGAATCGCGCGCGCAAAATGTTGCTTCATGCTAAATTATTATCGAGTGATTAGTTTAACGTTGCTGCAATCTGAAATTTTATCCTCACGGTTAATTCTTTTTTTCTCCCTTGAGACGGAGTAGTGTGCGTGCGTACGGACTAGGAATAAATTTTACAGAACGGTAGAGCATGTCGAGTCGTTCCCAGCGTGTTTTGTCTTGTACCGGTTTGGGAAGATTTCTGTACATTTTATATAAACACGTCACGATATTCGTAGATTAAAGCGGTGAAGGGAGGATGTAAAGCGACAGCGTTATTGTTATAATGGCATTATTATCGAAATAATATTATTACTACGACATTATTATTAATATGGTAGGAAACGTTAATTATTATTTAGTGATTGAAACGTCGAGAACGATGTAGATTGGCTAATGCAATCACAACGATAAACGAAAAGGCGCTTGTTTCTCTCCTTCTGTTGAAATTGAGTATTCGCAAATCTAAATAGATGCGTCGCAATTTCGAACGTTAGTTCGAGTTCTGATAAAATCAATCTTTTAATAAACTTCTCTGACTCGAGAGTTAACACGTTCTGGATACAAACAACTCGCGCGTCACACGTTCTCGGCGTATCAATGAAAGCAGGGTTGGGGAAGTTCTTTCTTTTTTAAAGTAGCTCGTTATCGTTACTCGTTACTCATTGAATAAAGTAAGTCGTTACCGTTATCATTATTTATTTTGAGAGATATTGTTACTGTTATCGTTGCGATTAAATGAAACGCCAAGATTGAAAGAATAGACAGGTATCATTAATTAATAGCATCATCTTTGATTTCTAAAAGCGACAACCTCTTTTACATTCCTGTTACATATTTATAGGTGTAACTTAAATATTTAATAGATATATTCATACGTTATTGATATTGATACGTTAAAGTCATTTCTCTGTTAGATTTCGCATTCGCAAACTCAGCAGATCGCTTCGATCAAGTTGTAAAACATTCCGGATATAAACGTTTCGATTAAGCCATTAAGTGTATTAATTAAGATCCAAGATAAGAACACCTGTCGATTCTTTTCATCTGCGAGAAAGATAAAGACACGAAAAGAGGGAAGCAACGAAAAAAAAAAAGAAAATGTTATCACGTCGCTGTCGGAAGAAAGTGACGTGCAACGGTAACGACTGCAAGTAACGCGTCACTTCTCAACCCTGCTGATAAAAAAAAGTTATTCCAAGTTACCGAATACCGTGCAAAAATAAAAATCGCACTCACCAGCAATTTGATCCCGCCTCCTTGATGCCCCGGCGTAGAACCTCCTCCGGCCTGTACGGACTCCACCGAACCCGCTGGCAGGCTCTGGTATCCTTGATGCATCTGCATCTTCACGCCTCTCGTGAACTGTCTCCGATCGTGCCGGTCGTCGTCAAAGTACGGCGACGAGTAGTCATCCGCTTGTCGTTTCGCGGTAGCGGAAGCACCGTTCTCCGGATACGACACCCAGAAGGACGTCGGTTTGGACAAGGCTCTGCTGGTTATGAGGGGATTCGCCTTCACATCACTCTCGGCCTGGAACGGAGACGGGGTCACGGTGGAGATGGTGGAAAGTTTCTTCAGGACGGCGTCCAAGAGAGTGGCGTTGAACGACGGAGCGCCAACCGCGGCGGGCGACGGGCTCTTCGGCGACGACTCCTCGGAGTTGTCCGTCGCACCGGCGTTGGCCGTTGTCATCGCATTGTTCGTAGCCGTGGTGATGTTTCTCTGCAGCTCCGTTAACATGTCGAACACCTGACTCAGCGCAATCATCCGTTGCTTGAATGGAAGCGTGGCGTCCACTGTCGGTTTCGGTGGAAATATGCCGGCGAAGGGAGGCTTGAAAGGTTTCTTCGTTGCAGCTGCTGCGGCTGCAGCAGACTTCTCATACGCGATCAGATCGTTCAAGGTTGCCATCATGTCGCTCTTCAGGTCGCCGAGCTCCGACAAAATCGCGTCCACGACCGCGTCCTTGGCGGCCGCGATGGCCGACAGGTCTTCGGAGGCTCTCGCGGTCCTGTCAGCGGCAGCATCGTCCGCTTTCAACGATCTCATCATGACGTCGCCTTTTGCTTCCGAGCTGTCGTCATCCGCTGCTTTCGTGGTCGCGTTCAGCTTAATGCTATCGAACAGCTTGTCCAAGAAGGCTGATACTTTCGACGTATACTCGCTCGGATCAGGAATTATGGAGGACGGCATCCAGTAGCTGGGTGGCACGATGGTGCTCTTCGGCGCGGGGACGTCGGTGCTCGTCGGCGGGGCGGCGGTACTGGTAGCGAGGTTCTTGAACAACGTGTCGAGGAACGCCGTTTTCTTCGCCGCCATCATGCTCGGATCCACCGCCGGTCCGACGGGTCCTGCGTAGGGTCCTGCGTAGGGTCCTGCGAAAGGTCCTGCGAAGGGTCCTGCGAAAGGTCCGAACATACCCGGAAGAGATTCCTTGGGCGTGTCGTCGGTCGCACCAGCTGTACCTTCAGCCAGGCCCAGGTTGGCAACTTGCATTTTGTCGGTCGGGATCGAGTCGGCTTCGCCCGCGGCAGCTTCTACTATACTTCTTCTCCTGCGGGAGAAGAAATCCTTGCCCGCGGACGTGTAATCGGCCGTCATGTCGGCTGGCGAGAACGGCGTCATCGGGCCGAAGCTCGGTGCCATCGGGCCGAAGCTCGGTGCCATCGGGCCAAATTTCGGCGCGAATGGGCCGAACATACCGCGTCTGTACATTGCACCGCCGTTGCCGTCGAGCGCCTTCTCCTTGCCGGCTTGCAGCGTGTCGCGTTTCTTGCTGAACAACACGTTGTTCAAGGGAGGGAGTTCTCCGCCGGCGCCGTACGGGCCGATCGGCTTAGTAGAGTCCGCAACGTTGTACGCGACCGGGCCCAAGCCGCCGAACAAGTTGCTCAGCATGTCCGTCTTTTTGGAGATCATCGTCTTTGGGTCGACGAACTTCGGGAAGAACGATGGCTTCGCCATGTACGGCACGGATATCGTGTCCATTCCACTTGGACCCATCGGTCCCAGGGCTCGTGAGTAAACTGTAAATTTATTTATGATGTATATTACAATGCGAATGAATATTTTATACTTTTTTTATTCTTTCATCATGCACATCGTCGAAGGGTTAATTAATTAATTTCGTAAACAAATAAATCCGACAACGCGAAAGTGACGATAGTTACAACGTAACTATGCGAAAGAAATTAATGATTTTTGTAAATTCGGATTTTATAGATTCGGACGATTCGGATGATTACTCCCGACTGGGTCTTCGCGCCTATCCAAGTGACCATCAACTTTTCTGATACAATTCTGATTTTCTGTCAAACCCGGTCGATCACTTTGCAATAATTGCGCAATTATTAACAGAGACACCGTAGATATGAGAAATCAAGCGAGTTTACCAAATTGACTTCTTCCTCAGACTTCGTAGTCAAGAGAATATTTAAATTGGAATAATTTAAAAAGCTCTTTCCGGTTAAGTTACAAATGACTCAGTCTTTTACAGGAGAAGTACATGGAGAAGACTCTTCAGGTCATTCTACAATACGTGTCGTAAGTTGCAAGCCGTAAGAACTGACCAATTATAGCCGATTATTTTTGTAATAATCGACTGTGATTCGCCAATTCTTACGGCTTACAACTTACGACACGTATTGTAGAATGACCTTAAGTTTACGAAAATAAAGAAAAAGTCAAAAAGGAAAGCGACATTACCAGGCTTGGGTATAAAGTTCGTCCATGGTGCTCCGGGCGGTATCGCCGCGGCGAACGCCAGCGAGCAGGTGAACAGTAAAAGTGCTTTCTGTCGGAGCATATTGCGCTAAGTAGCCTGGTCTATTCCGTCGACTCGCTTTTATAACAATCATCGATCAATAATCCTTGCAAAGTCTTCGGGGATTACCCGCATGGAGAATGCTGGCGGCCCGAGACGGCGGAGTCCTCATTAAAATAATCCACTCCCCGCATGTGTGTGCGCGGAGCTCCGCAGTTGTGTATTTTAATTAGCCCGGCGCGATAATTTCCTCCCGCTGCTTGTAGGGTCGTAATTTCCTTCTTACCACCCGAGGAAAGCCGCAGGAGGATCTATTTTAAAATCAAATCGATCGAGATCCATCCTCCATCTCGCGACGATCTCGCGACGAGCGGCGGTAAAGTCGTTTCGTGTTCGCGGGATTAAGGCTCCCGTCTCCTCGCCACGGCCATCTTGACTTTCGGACGTTAATGAACGAGAAAATACACATCTCTCCCTACCTCGGCGCGGCTAGATCTTCTCTCTCCGTCTCACCGCGTATATAAATAAGCGTATATTTTCTGGCGATCGCGCGAACTTTAATCGCTTTACAAATGAGTCATGTGCGCTGCATTCCTCAGCTGTTTTCAATAATGGAAATGAACGTCGCTTCAATTATTTTACGAATACCTTATTATCCTGGCTCGTCGAATTTGATAGGAGGTGACCCGAGACCGTGGTGAAACCCGTAAATCTCGTCACCTTTCTATCACCGCGAGCATGGATGAACTTGCGCGACGTAAGTAACATTCTCCGGCGTATTCTCGTGCCACGTGAAAAAAACGAAACAAAGATCGTACGTGCGTGTATTGCGGTTGTCAACTCCACTCGTCGCAATCGGTCACGCGTAGTGTGCGCAATTTGCAATAATTTGTGCAAATCAAGTGCCGTTGTAACAGCAGATACACCGACGATCAGATCGTTCAGTCATAGAGAAGGATTGTCCAAGAAAATAATATTGTCAGGACTGAATTCTAGCTTTAGCGCCACGAAGAAGTGTACTTTCTCGGACTTCCCGTCCAGCTACTAACCCAATCAGGATACAATCAGAAAATAATATCGCAAACTAATCTCCTGTAATTGCAGGAAGCGCGACCGGCAGCGATGACGTTAGTGCGGAAGCAACGACGGACTCGTCGTCGTTGCGGTCAGCTTTGCAGTGTCACCCGGCTGACAACATGGCGAATGTAATCACGCAATTGCTGCAAATTTATCGACCGCAGGACGACATCGCCGCGTACGAACGTGCGCTGAAGAAGCTACAAGGCTTATTGGGAAACTGCGACTCTCCCCGAAAGCGACTGCTGCTCTCGACGATACCTGCGCCAAAGGATGTGCCGAGTCTCAAGATTGCGGAGGTGTTCAGTGCAATCACCGGCTTCGTCAAGCTCGATTCGCAGGGGAAGTAAGTTCTGCATGATCCGGCTTCCGGGTTGGTGCCGCGTCCTCCGCGAATTTGTCCCCGACGATCTCCTTCAAGTTCACTTCTTCAGGGAGAGGAATGACATCTTTAGATCGCTCTTTCATCATCCAGTACAAAACATCCTGAGATCGTCCTGGAGATGCTCAGAACATCTTAGGACTCTCCTGGGCATCCAGGAGACATTCTGGACGACTTGTGCTTGGGACATCTTGTGCTATCTAAGCTCCTTCTCCCTGAAGAAGTGGGCTAGAATGCCTGTGAAAAATTCAACCTCATCCTGGAGTTCATACATTTCTTCACATCGCGAGCGCCTAAAATATCGAAGCAAGCTTTCTTCGAATTGGCGTTGTTTGTTTCAACAATTCTAAAAGATACATTGTATTTTCGTATTCTGATACAGTGATGCGTCTCAAAACGTTCTCGATACGGCGAAGTCGCTCAGGACGACGGACAACGACAATGTCCCAATGTCGAAGCAAGGCCTCTCGTGCGAGCAGGACATGTCAGTCTTCAGGACGTCGCTTCCCGAGGGCTTTTCCTTCCGTGGCTTCGCCGAGAACGAGATTTCCACGACACTCAGCGAGCACGTAAAAAATGTAAAGCCTATGTAGGGAGTCGCAACTCTCCTCGGAGAATCCGCTTGACATTCACTCAAATCCCCCGTCGCGTGCTGATCGACAGGCAGATTCGTCGAGTCGTCGGCGGCCAAACGATAATCCGCAGAATCGTTCGGACGAGAGCAAGTGTCAGACGTCAATTTGTCGGCAATATCTGCTTAATAAGAGATGTCGCGCACCTGTTGGCTGCACCGCCGACGAGTCGCAGCCTCGTCACTCGCCTCGGACGGTGTATCAGGTTTGTAAGAGAATTAAAAAAGAAAAATATTACAGAAACATTAAAGAAAAACGCCAGAAACGAGAGAGCATCACGAGCGATCGCGAGTCGGCGAGAGAAATCCAATTGTAAGACTTGAACAAACGTTGCAGGAAACGAGTTCCGCGAAGACGTGCGATAATACTGAGATAATATTGGATGTGTCGCAAGATAAGACCGCCCGGCTATGGAGTGACGTTAGATACGATAGTAAAAAGTGCGACGATATCGTCACATACAATAAAAACGCAGAAGCTAGCGCGTCGACGAGAATGGCGATCGAAGTGGAGCAAAGGAGCGCACAGACGGTCGAGCAGGAGGCGATCAAGGACAGTATACGCAGGATGGACGACGTGTGCTGGGGGGACAAAGATCGGAGCATTTTCATAGACGTACTAGAAACCAAAAAATGCGGAATAATCGTCGAACAGATTTTTTTCTCCTTTCAGTCTTCGATTCGCCGAGCGATTAAAACCCGTTCCGAATTCCGCAGGCGGACGACCTCCTGGCGACGGTGCGCGTCCGGCTGGAAAACAGTTTGAGCAACTTTCTGAGACGGGCGCGGGAAGGGGGCAGCGTCGGTAACGTTTTTCTTCGTCGGTTTTCCGTTTTACCTCATTTATTCGCACTCGCATTCTCGTTTCTCCCGAGGGATGAATTGCAAGGAGTCAAATGTTCTCGCGCGCAGAATCGCCGACCTTTCCACGCACCAGGTCCTACCCACGGGCGTACTCCTCGGACGCAGTGTGCTCGACGTCGACGGACCGGAAACCTGCAAGCGCACGCAAAGTCTTAGGGAAAGATTTCAGTGGCGCGACCGGTGACGATAGTGTACTTTCGTCGAAGCGGCAAAAGATGGATTTGGGAAAGAATCGTCAGGACGAGAAGACGAAGCCAGAGCCGCTTGCTCGTGTCGTGAACAGGTCGCAAACGAAACGCGGCAGAGCGAGCGAGTTGTCATTACTTCAAGATGATCCGGATGACACCGCGGGGAAGAAAACGGCCACGACGCAACGCAGTGAAACTGACGCGAAGAAAGAACCGACTTATGAGTGAGCATTGCGGTTTTCTAAATCTTCAACTTTTTACTCCAAGCCCGAAACTATAACGTGATTTCCGGGTAAAGAGTGTTCTTCTAGCCATCAGAAGTCGTAGTAACGTTTAAAGTTTAAGTAATACCTAAAAATCACGCTAATCTCGGGTCTAAAGCAAAAGGCTGAAGGCTCGTTACACCCATTGTCTTTCGGGACCAATGGAACACTGACCGATAATACTGATGTAATATTATTTTTCATACAGATATAAAACGATAAGACCGAAGTCGAACGAGATGAGCGCGGAGAACAATCTTCGAATTCATTCAATGTCCGAACTAGCGGCGTACAAGAAACAATATTACGACACGTTGCTGAGTGTTCAGAGAGCTAAAGGTCTAATTAGAAACTATATTGTATATAATGATATACAGTTACGTATACCTAGAGATGTGCGAACCATTCGAATTCGAATTGAATCAGCTAAGATATATTCCGATTTGAATCTGAATCCTTACCGTTCGAATCTGAACTATTCGAATATTTCAAATTACGAAAGCTTAAGGCTCCCCTGAGAAAATTCTTGCGTGTTACTTCCAAATAAAAAGATATCTATATATGAAAGAATATTTGAGATCGCTGGAGAAAATTTGTGAAATGCTTCAAACACTATGTTTTTCCCATTATGTTTGTATCGATGATAATCAATTAATAATTACAAAATGGCTTACGACCAATAGGAAAGTTTAAAACGCAATCAACGCAAAATTAAATAATTAGGAGAGAGCAGTGGAATTCTAATATTAACAATTATGATTAAAGGTAATTTGACGTGGAATGTTGATTCACCGCATACATTACGAGCCCGAAAAGGTACTCAGTGCATGTGTCATTATACGTTCAAACATTATTATTCTCCTATAGTTTAAAATTACTCGCATAGTATAATTATCCGACTGACTCCTATAGACTACATTAATTAAAAGTTACGTTTCGATGATTCAATTGGATTCGACACAGAAAATCCTCGATTCGCACATTTCTACGTATACCCACAGATATCCTTTAGATATAGCTTATCGCGCGACACGATCGTCGTGCGAGACGAGTGAAATCGTCGAAAACATCGGTCATTTTTTATTTTTCTATTTCGTTGCAGTCGCGGTGACGAATTCTCTAGCGTCCTTCTCCACTGCCTCCTCTTCTTCCTTGTCGTTGGATCGTTTAACAGCCTACGACGATCCATATTACGCGAATTACATGTGCCAGCAACAACACCTGTTCCAGCAACAGCGTCAGTTCGCGGCGATAAGGCCGCAATTTTCGCCGACGTGCTCAGCGGCGCTGTCCGGATTAACGAGCGCGCAGCAACAGCAGCAGCGCGGTGGTAACCAGCAGTACAGTTGGGCGAGATCCGACTGTAAATATTTATTATTCAAGCAATTAAGACTTCGGAGACAAGTAAGAGGAGCTACTCTCAGACACGACACGGGAAAAAATTTTTATATATAAATCTTCTTGGAGCGGAATCTCACGCGAAACGAGTGAAAGTGGCAGCGTTCACATCTTGAGAGTCAATATATAATCATTTTTTCCCTGGAAATAATTGGATCTCACGTTCGATTGAGATTCCACGAGTCTCTTCCACTCACCGTACGCGTGTCTTTCCGCAGACTTCGTCGCCCGCCGTGTACGCGACCCACGACCAAGGGTAAGTCGTCACCCACCACGTAAACTCGCGGTAACTGAAATACACACGAGATACACATATGAGATATCTCGCTTCTTTTCTCTCCTCTCGCGGTTATATCTCGATATATTCATGATTATTTACTGTGACGCGCGCTCCTTTTCCCGCCGACTTCTCCGCCGCAATTCCCTCCCAAGCGGTTGGATCCGTCGCTACGTCGGGCCCATGTACTCTTATCGTCCCTTCGCGCCGGACGGAAGCGGTCAGACGGAGCAGTGCGTGCGTCGCAAGAGCTTGGAAGACATAGTCGGCAAGTTGAAGGGAGTCGAACGCGGGGGCGTTAACAATTAATTGATTCATCGCGTCTCCCTCGAATTCCCACGGGGAAATTACCCCCCCCCCTCCCGTTGAGCGCCCCGCGCCGCGCGTCCATGAAGCCATATGCGCGCGTGAGTTTTATTGTACCTCTTTCTAAACCCAAAACCATAACGTACTCTCCGGCATAATGCGTTCTCTGCGCTGCCAGAAGTCGCAATAGCGCATAAAACTGGGAGATTGCGACGTTCGGCGTAAAAACGCCCTTTACCGAAATTTACGTGTTACAATTTCGGGCTCAAAACAAAAGGAAAAGGATTACTACGCAACCACATTGTGATTTTAATCCTCGACCGTGACGTACCCGCAAATATCACGATAAAGCGCCAATTGACGTGGAACGATAAAGATATGAAAAAATATCACACGTAATTATCGATTTATCATAGAACGTCGAGATAAATGGTAGGTATTCACCGGTATCGTTAGCGTGAGCGTTACGAACGACCTTCGCGCCGAGAATAATTGTTATCTCCGGTAATAACCGTTATTAAATTACACATGTTGATCCGGAGTATCGAGAGATTACCGTGCGTGCATTTAAATTGAATTCGTACGTCATTCGTCGTCGTCAAGCTACGACCACGCTCTCCTGCGAATGTTCATCAATGGAGTCGCGCTGCGGTTTTCATCATTTCGTTTGTATTTTTTTTTTTCGGATGATTGCGTGACAATGTCCCTCAGACGGCGCATATACGCAGAATATAACACGCTGTTATGCTTCTCAGCCAGTCGAATCACGCTCTAGCGATTCTCACTACAGATTCCCGCTTCGAGTAACATTACACTCGCTCTCTAACGCCGCTCTCTAAGTATTTTTTGTTTAGTGATATATCTTGTTAAGTGATTAACACGCACACACGTACACAGACACACCTGCAATTCCGCATACAATCGACAGTGCATATAATATTCGTTCGTTTTTATTCCTAGATGTACAAAATAACGTTTTAAAGGATACGCGGTAAACTTAGGTATTACGTGTGACTCATCCGTCATTTTTATTGTCCGGATCATTCGCTGTGTCAGCGCGACAAATCACCAAGATGCTCCGCTATCTGCTTCTTTCTCTCTTTCTCTCTTTTTCTTTCTTTTTCCGGCATAATCCCCGCGTCATACTTGGTAATCTGTCCAGCTGTACTCATTCATATCCGCAGTCTCCATTAGACTTTCTCAGACACTTGCGCGTCTCGCGTCTAACGATCCCTTACAGTTATTAACACATCGCTATAGTTTCACGTTGACTAGCATTATTATTGGCAGCATCACACACATTGTTGTCACTCGCATGTAATCGAATCGATATACAAATACAATGACGTTATTGGTAAAATCACGTGTACACTTACATAAATATGAAAACACATCCGGAATGCCCAAATGAGCCAAGAGCTCTCATCGAAGATGACACGTGTTTATTGAATTAAACATTAGGCCACTTGAGTCGTACTGTTTGCAATCGAGAGGAGTCGTCGGATATCGTCGTGCTTGGCGAATACGTCAGTACTGGAATTGTCAAGCGATCAAATATGACTCTGAAATTTTTTACAAAAATTATTTAAATTTATATTTTTTAGTGGACGTCGAATAAAATTACAAGAAATAAATATTTTTGTTCTTGCCTAAGCCGTGGTTGTTCAACAACTTGTCACTTCGCCATTAATTATTGTTGGCGGTTCTAATGCGAAATCGCTAATCTTTGAGATCGCGAGCGACATGGTTCGGAATCTTCGTCGGACACGACGATCTTTCTTTCCGTCGATTCCTCTCGATTCGCTTGGATCTTGGGAAATATCGGGTCGTGTACAGACTTGGATTGTCGTGCTATCACTATAGGACACTATCGATCGAGCTTAGCATGTAAAGAAATCTGCGCCTATTAATTGTAATTGAAATTTATTGCCTGAATGATAACTTATTTATACAAACTCTAAGGAAACAGTGCTTCACGTATCACAAACATACCGCTATTTTTTTTATTATTAACTTCGTTGAAGCAAATAATTATTGCGATAATTAGTGAAGTTAAATGAGAGACGATTTGATTTTCTTTTTCATCGTAGTGTGGTGTGATAACTTTATATTTCGTCCATGGTGCTGTCCGACGACAAATCCCTTCTCGAATCATTCCTTTTCAATCGCGCGTTCGTGGAGAACCTTGAGAGATCGTATCAATTTTTTACAGAAGCGACGCGTAACGATGCGAGATAAAAAGATTCTATTGCGTAAGAATCGCACGAAAGTATAAAAAAATTGAGTAAAAATTTTAAGCATTATTCGAGTTGTACTCTATTCCCACGGAAGAACTTGAAAGAATAAATGAAAAGTGTGAAAGATGGTAATTAGAGACTTCTCATAGAATCTTGATCACGAAAATCCAAGTCGTTTGTCGCCAGTAGCACTTGTGGACTCGGTTGAAATTTATCAGTTACCGCATGTACGAGTGAAAATTAAAATTGTTTTAAAGTAACGAAGATTGAGTGACGGATATATGCGACTCATAAAAAAAAAAAAAAAAAAAGCTTTCATTCTGATCTGTCTCACATAGAGAGACGTTGCACAGGTTGCCATTCGAATTTGCATTCGAAAATTACGATGGAACTTTATGGCAGATCGTGGAATGACGAAGCCTTGGATGCGAAATCATCATGAGTGAACGGATTCGATCGATATACACTACATTGAAAGAGCGTTATATTTCTTCTGGCAGTGTCTGTACATTTTGTTAGTTTTTTTTCCCTCTCGAACTCAAAGCTATAAGTCGCTTTTACCACCAAGTAACGCTTTTTATTGGATTAAGTTACTCTAAAGTGACATTACTTTTACTTTGAGATATATTCACACTTTCAAACGTTTTTTTTTCTTCCCAGCACATATCAGCAATTACTGTTATACAGAAAAATTACACGTTACGCCTTCATTGTGCCCAACAGAACAGAGTCGTGACACCATCGATATTTGCCACAACGAAGCTGCTGTTATTACATGCTATTTTTCTCTTTATGAACCTATATGAACACGCATTTCTCTTATATTATTAATTGATTTAAAGTCGACGCATCGAAGTCCGATAAGTTGTGTGTGTGTGTTTATGTGTGTATGTATGTGATGTGTCCGCTAAGTTTGTTTCATAATCGCGACATCGTATCAAAAGACAAAATAGCTCTTGTTAATCGTCCTAATCAAGATTAATTGCTCAACAAGATCAACCGATGCACTTTTGTGCTTGATTGATCAATATAACTGTCATGACACGTTGAACGGAGAAGAAACGAGGTATCGGAGACGTTCATATTTCGAGGACGATTACGATGCTGTTACGCGTTAAAAAGGAGACTCAATCAAGAAACGCAAGCACTCAACCGCTGTTGTCTTTTTTTCCGCTCTAGGATGAATTGTACTTCTAACACGATATGTATGTACTAAAAAATACCTTGCTCTTCAATTTGATGGATTGTTAAGGAGATATAGTTGTACAAAAAAAGTGCTTGACTAGAGTCGACTAGAGATTTTCTCGTTAAAGTAAAGAATTCAACGCAACGCGATAAATAATACTGATCTCGTCTAATTACTTTAAAGTTACACGAAACGCCTGGAAACAGTGCGTATGTACAGGGACGGACTTGTATTCCGCTTTGGAGTTCGAGCAAAGCAGGAGGGTTTCGGTCGCTTCTTCCGCATTTCTCTCTCTTATCATATCGTTTAAAGTATAATAAAATATCGATCAAACATGCGCTGATACAGTTGACGTGCAGTTAAAATTAGTGCGTTACCTTATCTGGAAATTTTATAACAACACGAATCGCCATTTACTGTGAATAAAACTCGCAAGTCCGTCCTCGTACAAGACCGATACTGCTGCAATACAATGAGCACACTTCAAAGTTTACGAGCCAATTAGAGTAATACAATGAGAATAATCGTTCCACGCATACTATTCCGCTCATACAGAAGGATAACTGATGCCAAACCGATCTTCCGGTGCAAAGAATGTCAAAGTCGATTAATAGAATCTTATCGTAAAATCATCATCGCGAAGAGTCTACGTGAAATTATCGTCTGTTCAAAGAATGAGCTTCGGCTTTCTCTCAATATGTGCTTTCGTTAAGAATTTAAAGTTCTATAAGGCCATTGCGTGAAGTATACGTATAAAGGTATTGTCATTGCAAAGTAAAATGTTATTACGATTTTAAGTACTATGCTGGTTATTAACAAGCTATCCGATCATAGCTCAACTTTAACGAGAATTCAACGCGAAAATCAGGACTTCACAGTAGGTAATCAATCATCTACCCTCCCTTGATAATGTGATTCAAACGCTTTTCGATCGTTCGTTTTTAATCAACGACAACATAATTTCACACGTTTAATCAGGTAAATACAATTTGACTTCGTGAAATCATACTGATCAATCAAAAGAGGAAGGTAATTTCTCGTGCTTATGTGTCTTAAAAGTCCACAATTAATACGCAAGTTGAAAGGAATAAACGGTCAAATTGCAGTTTCGAATCGTAACTGCCGTACTTTGTATATAGGATCAGTAGAAAGATCGGTCTAGCTGCGTTTCTCACTATGTATGTATATAACCCCGCTCGAGGATTCAGTAATATATACACTTTCTGGTATACCTTAAACAATTACACGCGATCCCTACACGTACCTAAACACTTCCTCAAGTATGCATGGAGCTCAAAATATGTTGGCATCAAAATACAATAAAAATGATTAGTTAAATATATATATATATATGTATATGTATATATGTATATCGGTGTTACGTGCTATATAGTGGTCTTATACTTACAAAATCCCATTAAAACTTACTTAGATTTATTATTTGGTACATGATTGGAATGAAGAGTGGCGTTATTTGCTTATCAAAGTTCTGGGCAGTCTGGTTTTGTGTGATGCAAAACGTCACGACCCGAGTCAACTAAAGAAAATCTATGTATCCTCTTGGCAGCAAAATGTACAAGGCAGCAATAACTTTTTATACAGGATCTTAAATCTTTTTTTAGACACGATGAGCTCGTCCTGCAAATTCGACAAACTTGATAAACCCAGTAGTGTAGTAAGTCTGGGCTATGATTTCTCTCTCTCTCTCTCTCTCTCTCTCTCTCTTCTTCTCTCTCTCTCTCTCTCTCTCTCTCTCTCTCTATTTGTTTTTAACTGTTGCGTGTGTAAGTGTATAATTTACATGTCTTATATTTCACATTTCAAATCACATCCGGTTTCATGCACAACTGGAAACACAGATGGAATGTGTGTAAAAACCAAAATACGGTCCTCTCTCTCTCTCTCTCTTTCTCTCTCTCTCTCTCTCTCTCTCTCTCACACCCTCTTCTTTTCAGTCACTGTGCATTATTTTAATACAAAATATCGTGTCGAGAAGTCAGACAAGTTCGTATGCAAACAATATATAGAGAGATACGATCCTTTTTTTTTTTCAATTATGTAACAAGTAACACTTGAACTCTACGGTTGGTTCAATAAAAGGGGGGAAACGTTTCAACATAAGTATGTATATATGCATATATATAATATATATATACACATACGTGAATGTACTTGCTTTGTGTAAAAAATCCCGTTTATACTAGCCACAACTGTTCACAAAAGTTGCCCGGCTCGAACAAGTTTATTCTTTTCTTTTTATCCTAACGAGTGCTTGTTACTCTTTTGTATCTCACAGGGGACGATCAGGCGAAGCTGTAAGGATCAATAGTTTTGCTAGAGCAAGGTTGAACATCATCTGGTGGTGGGTGCCACTGTCCGGACCACATGGCGTTACGAACCACGTTCATGTCAGTAGCCTCCTCTATGCCGTTGCTAGACGTACGTTCCGCCTCCCAGTGGAGGCCGTTTCGAGTCACTTGAATTGATCTACCTTCGTTCATGCCATAACAATTCTGTGCGTCATTGTTCACTGGCATTTGCATAGTTTTACTTCTAATTTGCGTAGTGCCACTATTTGTATGCTGGACGTTGGAGGACCACGAGTCAGGCTTCTCTACCGATTTCAGCGGCAATTTCCGCGGTACCCGCCTGGTCTTGGCCTCTTGGGCGACGCAGCCGGTGATCTCGATCTTGCTACTGCTCAACGCGTTCCCATCGCCGGAACTACTTCCGTCGCCTCCCTCCTTTCTCCGTCTTCTCCGTCGCCTCTCGAGCTCTTCCCGTTGGGCGTCCTCACCGTTAGTCGTCTGTGCCTTTAAAATATGTTGCTTGGCCGTTGCCCAATGGTCCTTCTTGGCGCCTTGTTTGAACTTGTCGTGATTGTTGCCACGATGACCGCCGTTGCTCGTGTTCGTGTCGCTGTTGCGTTTCTTCGACTGTTGGTTCTTCACAGGCCAGCTGCTGGGTCTCTTGGGACTACGTTCTTTCAATGTGACCTGCGTGATTGGAAATTTTACGTTTATGACGCGGCACGAGTGAACGACCGGAGCGGCACTTTAGCCGCAGCTCGTGAAACGGAACGTTCGTTCGACATTTACCCCGGAGGAGGAAGAATTGTCCACGGGCTTGTAGAGTTGCGTCGGGGTGTGACTACGAGAACCCTGACCCTTACAGCTCGATCCGCTACGACCGTGTATGCAGGAGAGTACAAATGCTAATAGGGCACATGAGAGTCCTAGCGCCGCCGCGGCGGACAGTTGGGAACGTGTGCGTCTTGGTACCCAGCCTCCGACGTGGTATTCCCATATTGCGCATGCTACTAATGCGCTACTCAACACATATGACAAGCCTATGCCAGTGAATACCCAAGCATTCTATAAGAGGTAGTAGATTCTATTACATGTATCGACATATCGAGTAATTGTGTCAAGATTTGAAGTTATAATTCGCAAATGACAGATCGATTATATGTATTTCCGAGTCGCAGGTGTACTTTAGTCGATGCCACTTACCAACTTAGCCCAATTTAAAGGAAGGATGTAAATGACGTGCGAAATATCAAGGAAGAGAAGTAATGCAGTGATCAAGAGACAGAAAACAGCTACAAAGATCATGAATCGTAAACGTCCTACTAAAGGCAGCATAAAAAGGCTGACCTTGGCAGTGCCAGAACTGCATAAAGTTGCCAAACAAGCTGCGGAGGATACCTGCCAAACGTGTTTGTTAGTGTAACTGTATTCCAAACGATCTTATCATTTTTAATGTAGCATACATGGTTTGTGTTTCACATACTCTCACACACAAGTGACTTTACTTACGAGTAATAAGAGTCTAACAACACCCGTAGCTGTTTTAAGATGCCCCTGTATGTCGCAATAAATAACGATGTGGCTCGCCCGGGACCAAGGCAGAGCATTGGATCCAGAGATTTGCTTATCGCTATTATCATAGTGGCCATGATAATTAGCGTGCGAATCCCAAGAGTGGACTGTCGAGTGGACTCCCGGCGAATCCAGCTCCAATTGGGAGCTGGTTCGCTCCCCTGTCCTACTTCCTGCTATTGATACAATATCGAAACTATGTATACATTTGTGCATGCTACTACAGGACTCTAACTTTTGAATGATCAAGCAGATGAAGACAAGCGGCTAGATGGAACTTTGTTAAAAAAGAAATATATATATATATGTACACATTATCAGCTATCTAGGAGAATGATATATTAAAAAGTAATCTGTTGACTGTATCTTCAGACTCAGCAAATTTGCAGACATGAACAATTTGCTGTGCAAATGATGATACAAGTGCATAAAGAGGCTCAATCAACATTACTCGTACCAATTTCGAAGTCCTGAATATCCTCAGGCCTAGAATATATGGCGGGTGGTGATTCCAGATCGCGTATCTCTTCCAGAAGCACCTCTATTTCGTCGGCTGCGTATAAGTCCGAGACCGAGCGAATATGATGCCGAGTCTCGCTCATTACTTAGGTGCGCTCGCTCATTTACTCCTTCCTGCCTGTCGTACCTTTCTGCCTGATCTGTCAGCTACCACCATTCATTGTCTAGTTGATTCGACGACAGGTCCATCCGTCTATCAGCCATTGCCTGCACATACCCTGTGCCATCTCTACCTTTGCAGGCAACACTACCTCAGCCTACTTCAGGCCACACCTGTCGAGAAAAGCTCACATAGATCTTACTACATTCGAGAATAACAAGAATATGTACTACGAGTAATACTTTGAGATATCACATATTTTTTCTCTATCAAACGAATTACTTGCTGATGTTACTTTGCACGAGTCAACAAGCTATATGGATAAATTCTCGCCGCTACGTTACTCGCCAAGTCCTTTCATACATTTATCGCGACAAGTTGTCAGAACGACACGTTGATGCACGTTAGATTTCGTGACGAGCGCATTCCTGACAATCACACAATGACACTTATCTGATACAAACAAGAGAGTCTCTGGCATGTCAATGCAACTGGCATGAACGCGAAATTAAAGAACGACCGAGCGATGGGAATACGCGGTTACACCGCGAGGTCGAAACGCCGATCTGACGCGCGCGCGACCCGAGCGTCGGCTCATGCGGAAAATCACACCGGGTCCGTGTGCAACGAGTTTCCTGACGGAAGCGTCTCGTCGCTCCGGATCCACATGTGGTTGCCAGAATCCGTTCTCGGCGATGTCTTCTCCGAGCGCGGTCGCAGCGCGTGTCCGGAAAAATCGCGCGTCGCCGCGGCGCGAGAACCGCGCGAGACATACCTCGAATTTGCGCTCGTCGTCGGCGAACGTGTAGATCACATTTTTCCGAGGTTTTTCACGGTGAACTCATTGACCGTCCAACGAGTAGCCGCCATTGCCTTTTTGCTGTTTTTGCCCATGATACGCGTCCATCACGACGACCTAGAAACAACAGATGGGGCAACTTGTCTCTCTCTCTTTATTCATTGGCCGAGCGCTAAAAAATGGTCGCGCGAGCGTGAATCACTCGCGACGGAGGTGAATCGCGCGCGCGGAGCGAATTATTCCCTTCCATTGATCAAGAAAAACCGCCCGCGAGCTGCTGGCCGATTCGCGGAGAGTCCCGTAGATGGCGAACGGAGGAGCCGTGAGTTCGGACGCGGTCGCGTCGATTAGGATTCGCCGTAAAAGACTCGTCGGCCGGGAGAAAGGAAGGAAAGTCGGACGACACGTCAGATCGGTTTCTTATTCGCACGTTGTTGCGTGTCGATTGACTCATCGGAGATTGGTTATGTTTCTTGTCAGGAAACGACGACTGTTGCACTCAACATTTCTTCATTGGTAGAAAGCAAAAGGTTCGAGCAAAAGGAGCAAACTCAATGCGTCATCTCGAGGAATTCGATTAATTATTAATAAAATCATGCATATACCGCTAGAGGCTCACGTGGAATACCAGGGGCGGTATATTCACGGTGGAATCTTACATTTAAAATCGCCGTAAGTTCATCCTCGGACATTGGATGGATCGTTCCATCGGAACTACGAAGTTCCGCTACGAGGACAAACCGCAAACGCTCTTAAAAATATGATCCGCCACTATGAGTACCGCCTTAAAATCACTCTGTCGCACAAAACATTTTATTACTCGCATTATCGCATCAAGGGAAAAGTTATACGACCGCCACCCTAGATCGGACCGTAGGAGACGGCCAATCAACGACAAGCCAGGGAGCTTCGACTACTGCTAGATGGTTTTCATTTCAGCAACGAATCCGTCGCGCCTCCGGTGTCGCGAATTCGAACTTCCAAATTCAAACTTCCAAATTCCAAATTTACACTTTCCCAGCGAACCGTTTGCAGAAACAGCTGCACGAACGATATCGCGCATCCGTTGAATCCGAGCGTCGCGCGAACGGCTATTCCTCGCGGGCATGGACCAACTCGAAAAATCGGGTCGCGGTCCAGCGATAGGAAGAGCCCGTCGTGGCTCATGCGAGCGCGGCCAGAATCGCTCGGAGCACGCCAGCCAATGTGAACAAGCGATCCGCGACCGTGTGCGCTCGTGTGCGCGACTGGGCGGCCTCGAAGTCTTTTTGCTTCCCATTTTGTACCGTGCGGTACGTCCACCGTGGTACTGACGTTTCGCTGTGCCATCGCATGGCCGACGTGTGCATTCCGAGGCTTACAGCCGCGTGGTATCCGCTGTGTCACGAGCGTCACCGCTGAAGGGGCCCCTGCCGCCGCCTGGTCGTGGTCATCGTTGTCGTCGTGGCCGTGGTCGCCGTTGTGTAGCCGCCGTGGCCAACGTCGCCGTCGCCGTCGTTCCCGCATCGGCGCACCGACTGCACCGTGACGATCATCATCACCGAAAGTGAGTGTGCGAGAGAGCCTGCGGGAGAGCCGAAGGTGGCCGCACGGCGCGTGCGGCTCCACAGCGTTTTTAATGCCCGCGCGCGCCGTGCGACATCGGGCGAGAGAACGGACGGGCGGCCGCCCTCGGACGACCCGCTACGTCGCGACCACGTTCTTCCGCTGACATAATCCGGTGCGAACTGGATCGGTGCGGTATGACCGCGACGTATCGTTAATCCCGAGCGTTTTCACACACACAGAGACAGAGAAAGAGAGAGAGAGAGAAAAAGAGATAGAGAGAGAGAGAGAAAAAGATCAAGATAGACAGACAGACAGAGAGAGAGAGAGAGAGAGGAGAGAGAAAAAGAGAAAGAAAGAGGAATTCGCAGAACCTGGTCATCCCGACGTCGACACGCGGAGCCACCTTGCCTTCGTGCCAGGCTTCTCATCGCCACCGTCGTCGTCCCTACTCCGGACGAGAGAGCGCGCGCGACAGCGATAAATCTCCTCAGCCGAGCAGCGACCGTATAACGCCGCGACCACGCGTTCCCACGCGCATCAGCGATGTCGAACGAGGAGACCTCCGCCGACCGCAACGTCGAGATCTGGAAGATCAAGAAGCTCATAAAGAGCCTCGAGATGGCCAGGGGGTAAGTAGGTCGACGCCGACGTCGTCTTGCCGCGCGCCATCAGCTGTTACCCTGTACCGATCGTCCTGACATATGGCTTCGCCGCGAGCATGTGCTCGCTCCCCAAGTCACGTTGCAAGATACATTAGAGTCCTCTCTGTTTTTCAAATCATTCTTTGCTGGTAATATTTCATTCGCATGTATTGGCATACCTCTGATACCAATTTTACTCGTGAATTTATGCTGTAGATGAGCTATGTAGGTCTCTCGCCTGCGCTAAAGCACATGAAATCCAGGCGGTGGCTTACATAAACAGAAAGTCTTGAGTATGTACGATAAAAGATTTTGCTGAGAGAAAGAGAGAGAGAGAAAGAGAGAGAGAGAGAGAGAGCATGTGTATGTATGTAGTGTGGAGTGTCATTTACAAAAAGTTTTAAGTGTTTTGTCTTTGCAGGAATGGCACGAGCATGATTTCGTTAATCATACCTCCAAAGGACCAAATATCGAGAGTGAGCAAGATGCTAGCGGATGAATTTGGTACTGCGTCGAACATTAAATCTCGTGTAAATAGATTATCTGTCTTGGGTGCAATCACGTCAGTACAGCATAGGCTAAAGTTATATACTAAAGGTATTTATCTTCTTTATAATTCTTTGTCGTAAATGGTTTAGTATAGTTAACGCAGCTATTGCCTCTTCTTTATTTTTAGTACAAAAATAATACCAAATTCACTTATTCTTCTATCCTATTTGTTATGTTTTATTTATTTATGTTATGTTCATTCAATCTATTTTCCATCTCATTTGTTCATACGTTCTATTTTAGATATATTGTACTTGTTTATTTGATTTCGACATTTACACGACATTTGATTATCATTTTATGTGTAGAAAATATGTTATCGATACATTTGAGTTGTTTGTAATGGCTGTTATTTGCATTGTATTAAGTATTTTCTAGATATTTTATATTTTAGTGCCTCCAAATGGCCTGGTAATTTATTGTGGAACTATCGTTACGGAGGAGGGGAAAGAGAAGAAAGTCAACATCGATTTTGAACCTTTTAAGCCTATTAATACTTCCTTGTATCTTTGTGATAATAAGGTGGGTCTTGGAATCTCATATTCTCGAATGTACTCTGTGATACTTATCACATCGAGCGTGACTTGTACTAACTGCACTTTACAGTTTCACACGGAAGCGCTGACAGCGTTACTCGCCGATGATAATAAATTTGGTTTTATTGTTATGGATGGTAATGGCGCTTTATTTGGCACGCTACAAGGCAACACACGTGAGGTCTTGCATAAGTTTACCGTGGATCTTCCTAAGAAACATGGTACGTAACACATTGGAGAACAGTTGAGAAAAGGGCGAAAGTTCGTTTTTTCGCAGTTTCGCATGGTATCGAGATAGGTCACGCCGAGTGCGCTATAAAATGTATCGATTTTCAGGTAGAGGTGGTCAATCTGCGCTTCGTTTCGCCCGATTACGGATGGAGAAACGACATAACTATGTTCGAAAAGTCGCGGAAGTAGCTACTCAATTATACATCACTAATGACAAACCAAATATCGCTGGTTTGATATTGGCAGGTAGCGCCGATTTCAAAACAGAACTTAGTCAATCCGATATGTTTGATCCGGTGAGTGAGGTCTCTTTTTCCATCAGTTTCTCTTCATTATTGTTTTGTTATTTTCAATTCTTTTAACTTACCTTGAATCGACAAACTATTTTTTAATAGATGTATTTTTTATATAAAATTGACAGCAATATTTATAGAAACGACATGCCCTTCTTTTCTCCAGAGATTGCAAGCTAAGGTCATAAAATTGGTGGATGTATCGTATGGTGGTGAAAATGGCTTTAATCAGGCTATTGAGTTAGCGGCCGAATCTTTGCAAAATGTAAAATTCATCCAAGAGAAGAAGTTGATCGGTAAATAAATGTTCACGCGTCGATTGTGACGTATATCGTTGGTATACGTATCTGACAAAATGATTTCTCTCTCAAGGTCGTTACTTTGATGAAATTTCTCAAGATACCGGCAAGTATTGCTTTGGTGTAGAAGACACGCTAAGAGCTTTGGAATTAGGTAGCGTTGAAACACTCATTTGCTGGGAGAATTTAGATATTCAACGATACGTCTTGAAAAATCATACAAACGCGGAGGAAAAAGTCTTACACCTAACGCCAGAACAAGAAAAAGATAAAACTCACTTCACAGATAAAGAGGTAAGCGTCGAGATAAAATGCCGGAACAATCTAATGTTGAATTCTTTTTCTCTCTGATACCTTTCGAAGGGAGACCCTTGTATCTTATTCATTTATCTATAGAGCGGGGTAGAGTTGGAGCTTGTGGAATGTCAACCGTTGCTCGAGTGGCTCGCGAACAACTATAAGAGCTTTGGTGCTACCTTGGAAATTATCACGGACAAGTCGCAGGAAGGATCCCAGTTTGTCAGAGGTTTCGGCGGTATCGGAGGTGAGCTCTTCTTATACGTGTTCGTTATCACCGCTTATAGTCTCACAAAGCAAATTCTACCTCTTTCTCTCTGCCTATCATTGAATATATATGTATAAACATTACATGTTAAATAGTTAAAATAAGTAAAACACCTGATAGTAAGTAAGCAAACGGAAGAGATATTTAATATTTGCGATATGGGGAAAAAAGCGAAAAGATCAAACAAAAGAGATTAAAGCTTTCCGATTTACATGTATGTCACGCAGATTCGCAATAAATTCCAAATAATATATATAGCGTAGACGCTGAATTATGTACAGTGCGACATACGGTAATGCACATTTGCATATTTCACACGCACGAATGAAATCGTTGAGAAGTTACGATGATACAAAGTCGCCTTTTTACGGGCGTACCGTTGATCTTGAAAGAATTAAACGTTGTGTCGCTATAAACGGGCGAAGAATGATATGCACGGAAATATGGACCCTCAATCGAACTGATATTAACCGTGGAGTATATGTTGGTGCATAGGAATCCTCCGCTACAAAGTTGATTTCCAGTCACTGCAGGCTGATGAGCCTCTTGATGATGTTGACCTCGATGATTACTAATTTCATCCGTGAATTACTCAGAGTCGACCAGGTAGCTCTTTCTCTGTCTTGCGTGCGTTCACTTACATCTCGTGTATCATAGAGCGTATTATTTGTGAAGCTGGACAAATTTATCACTCGTCTCTCTTTTACTATCCCCGTTACCGAGCCGTCGTAACTTCATCCACCGCATTATAACACTTTGATATAAGAAAGCATAATACGATTTAATTGAATTCGTGAATGTATAATGCAAACGGTGTGTCTATTGGTCTATCGAGAGATTTAAGCGCTTATGATTAGCCAAATGTCTTTTTAATAAAACCTTTTTATCTCTCACTTATATAATCTCGCTTGAAACGCGAGTAAATGTTCATCATATTGTCCTTCTCTAGAATGTAAATATATCACATGTCACTAGTAACAAAATATTGCACAATGAATTTCTGGATTAACTGCATAATCGTGAACATATTAAATATTAATGTAAGATTCTCTCTGTATCTGCTTGTCGATATTCTACGATAAGATCACACGATTAGAGTTAGTGTAAGACATTCTTTCTTAATTGATCTCTAAATGTAACGATAAATTTGTCCAAAAGTATCACAAATTTCTTCCATTGGGTTTCTCACTAAATAGTACAGTTTGGTTCTTCTGTGCAGATCTGTAGTATACATATGCATATGTGTCTCTTAAAATAAGTTTGAATGTGGTAATAGACGTTTTTAGTTCATATGTCTCTCTCTCAAGATATAATTATTTTCACGAATAAAAAGAGCCTGAGAATCTTCGCTGTCTTTCTTTTCTTTCTTGGTGGTAAACGCGAATAAAAAGAAAATCTTGTACATATATATACATGAGATATGTGGATTGCTCTGTGTTTATATATATGCGGGGTGAGTTGAAATCTTCCAGTTTTCCTACCTTTTTACACACGCTGTGTCATTAGATCTGTACACTCTTGGTTCTCGTAATCGGAGAAGTAGACGCAACACACACAGTGGTTGATTCAATGGAAAGAGATCAGTACTGCCAGATATATTCAGATATACAGAATCTTTCACACATTACCTAAAATTCGTATTTTAACACACCTCATTCTCGATATTGGTACAGTATAACATGTATACCGAGAGCCTGTTACGAAGCCGATTAAAGCCGCGTGTACAAGAATGTTTTATAAATAAACTAATTGATAACGCTTCTAAATGTCAATGTGAGCTTCCAGCCAACACAGCGGCGCGACGAGTTTTCACACACACATACACATACACACACACACACACATACATTACCATCACCAATTAATATATAACTACTCAGATTTTTGTATCTTGAGCGAAAAGCGTGTTTGCCTCGTTTCGCAATTGACATTGATATTTATCTCACAAGTGAACAAGCGATTACTTTTTTCAATATGTAAGCGACACTTCACATAAATGCACACTTACACGCATTATCTGATACATATTATCTGATTATAATTCTCGAGCCGATACATTATCATTTGCTGAGTATACGAATTATATAAAAGTTTTGCTGAATGGAATCGCGCAGTGTGCGTATATATATATCTGATTTTCAACTACAGAACCACTACTTTTTGTTCTTTTATTACGCAACTATATAGTGTATAGATTAAACTTTTTTGAGTTTGCATGGCATTTTCTCTGCGATATTTTCTGTTCTTGTTGGCAAATAAATGTAAATGGTATTACTATTTCTTTAATTTGCGCTATTTTATTCTCTATACACGTTGTTCGAATCTATACACATTGTCAGAATTTAATTTTTATTACAATTATGCTGTAGATGTATATAGATGTACGTTTTAGTAGATACAATATCAAATAATAGTACATGCATGTGTACATCTTTTTCAATGTAATTGTTTCAATGTATGTGTTACATCGACAAAGAGTTTGTTAATTCGGGTTTAATCTTGGTCTAATGCACCACTTTATAGCAAAAATTATTAATTTTGTCAACAATATGCAGTTCATGTGTGTTTTTGGAAATTATGCATTCCTAATACGAAAACATGCAAATAAATACGAACCTCCGGAATATTTCTTAGAACATATAGCTATAGTTTACAGGTTACTCATTATTATCGTTCGTCGTTGTCACATATTTTCACTTAGAATTCTTGAGATACTGCCGTTTTCATGACTTACACAATTATTACACAGTACCCTGATTCGAACAACTGAATTATAGAAAAACACTTGACGAAAATTTGGCATTTTTGTATTGCTACAAAGCAAATGTCACACGCTGCATTGAAATGATATTGCAGCATTATAACACGTTTTTTCAACGTATTCTTTCCAATTTACGCTTTACTCATGCTTACACAATATAAAATAGAAAAGGACAATCCGATAAGTTTGATCGATTACGCATTGCATGTTAAATAATAAGCGATGTAAAAATATTAAGTTCATTATCATAGATAATGTAAGTTATTGCATTACAATTAGATAGTACATGTGAAAAATTTCGCTCTAAATTTAAGAAGTTAGATAAAAAAGCATGGTAAAATGGAAATATCTATGGTAATGAACGCGAATATCGTATAATTATTACAAGTATATATCTACGCTTTCGTATAGCAATTGCTTATAATAGTCGAAGTCTTTTTAATACTCTTCAAATATACTAATCGGCATTCTTATTTCTATTAGCTCGCATATTGGGAAAGGTATAGTACTTGCTTTTTACTCAGATAATTATACAACAAAGATACAAATAAATGATATCACTTAACCGATATCAGTCGTGTAATGTAGATCACAATGTTACAATTGACGTATTTCATATATATACACACACATATTCATATATAAATATATATATTTATAGGTCTTATTCCATTGATTCTTTAATACTACAGTTATAATATTATAGTTTATCTACAATCATTGTCTCATCACTCATTAATATTTATTTAAACATCTTGTAATTTATTAATGATTCATTAATAGTTTATACATTCGAATCATATATATTTACTTCTCTCATTACACAGCTTCTTTGATCGCTATATTGATCGATATAACATTCATATAATATGAATTTACATTTAATATTGATTTTCTCGTACTTCATCTGCATATGACATCAATATATAAAATTCATAATTCAGTGATTTCATTTAACGATCGAGTTTCTGACTAATTACAGTGTATTTTCTGGACATTGAGTTGAAGGAATTGTGAATAGTGTTTTTAATGAAGTGAGTTGAAGGAATTGTGAATAGTGTTTTTAATGAAGGCTTTACTCAACATTTGCATATATATATGTTTATATAATCACATATTTATGATTGCTTATATCTTATTATCGCGATCTTTGCAAATTATAAAGTATACATTTTGTTTTTGAAAAAGCACTGTCGCAAAATTTCAATTTTCCTTAATTTGTTGCAACTTAGCAAATCAATGCTGTAAGCGCGACGCTATATATAAAATGAATGTTCTTAATGATTTATCTTTTACGTATATTTGTGCTTACGCCATTTTTCAAACCACACTGTTCTATATTTACAATCAGTTTTTAATTGTCAATTTGGTAATGAGAGCTCGTACAAGGAGATTTGATCGAAAGGTTCTTAAGTTATCAACAATGGTTTACATATCCAACACGTATTTTCAAGTGTATATTTTTCAGGTATTTTGCGGTACAAAGTGGACTTTCAAAGTATGCAGCTGGAAGACACCGAAATCGATAGCTTTGATTTGGACGACTACTAGGTCCGTGACACAACCGATATTTGGTTCTCTTCAAGGAAAAAAAAAACCAGAAGACACATGCGGTGTATATTCTCTCTTGCCGCAACAAGAGACAGAAACATAGACGGGCACATTTTTCGAAATTCACCATACAATGCAGCAGCAACAGCAACACGTACGATGTCGCCACGAAATCATTATCTAGAATTTATCGAGCATCAAGCAGATCGCAGATTGATTACACGAAAGAGTGGAGCACAGCATACGGCAGGAGCATATCGCGACTCAGCATGGCCGTATTCTACGAGGAAAAAGGAAATAAAATAGACAAAAAAAAGGATAAGGAAACAGAAATAAAGGGCAACTCGAAGACTGTGACACTTAATTAAGCCAGCTTGATACCTGCCTACTCTCATCTTAACATTTTACCACCCTTGTATTACGATTATGGTCCTCAATTATTCACGCGGATTCGTTTGAAACCAAACCAACCAACCTACACACCCGCTCTACACAGTGCCGAATATAAAACAAAATGTTGTACAGTGTATGTACGTGGTTCGGTCGTGATTTTATATTAAATTGATGTTTGTCATCTCTTTACCATAGATTTTATGAGGAATGAATATTTGAACTACACACACCAGAGTGGATGTAGCGTTATTTTTGTTCAGATACAATAATGGAAGAGCTGTAATAAACTGATTATTATGAACATACAATTTGCATTTGTATCGTGCATTCTGACACCGGTTTGCAAAATTCACGCGGACATATTAAAAAAAAAAAAGAAAAAAAAGAAAAAGAAAGAAACGGAGAACGTTCTGTAAATAGATGTCAATTTAAAAGAAAAAGAAAAAGCGGCGCAGTTGCCTTAGGACATAAGCTGAGATCGTCTCGTTGACGATCCACGGAGTAAATGAAGTATTTCCGTCTTATGCAGTGATACATATACTTGTAAATGTAGGGACATACAGTTTCCACGCGATTCCACGTTGCTCCGTTGCTGGCTCTCGGCTCTTAGATTTTGTACATTCACACAACTGTACATAAAAGGCGCTTCGCAAAAAGGAGAAAACAAAAAAGTGAGAGAGATGTATCGAGAGGTAACTTTTTCCATTGTTATAATAGTGGTGCACCTCACAGTGAAGAGAAAGATATTCCCCGCGATATTTAAATGGCAGTTACTGAAAAAAATGAAGAGATGTTACGAAATTATTTTAACACTGTTAATTTAACTTGCTTGTTCGTACGATGCCTTTGTAATAAACGACGCTGTGTATGTATAAATGTGGAAAGAATGTAACGTGCAATTTTGGTGAAGTACTCTTTAATGAAAGGAACGTATGCTGTACAGAGAGGCGAAGATTTTTCGCGAATACTATGAGATTTTCTTGTCGGAAAAAGAAAGGAAAAGTAAAAACAGTGTATTGTTGATTGGTGATGTATTTAACATGATTAATTATGCGATATTCTGATGTACACCTTGCAGAGACAAGAAACAGGCGCACAAAAGAACTTCATCAAAGTGGGACGTTTGAGAGAATGAGACGGGGGGAGGGAGGGGACAGAGGAGAGAAGTAGAGCGGAAGAAAGAGATCGAAAGAGCGAGAAATCTGATTTGTGGTATGTGCACAACGAATTCCAGAACGTGATGGCTCGAAGTATTGTATCTGTGTATTGTCTCTCAAGATATCGAGATGTTAATTGCCGGCTTAACGTTTCTTCAAATTTTTATATGTAAACATCTCATTAGGAGTCTCTAGATAGTTATTTATTTCTACACGTCGGTGCGACTACGTTTCTGCTTAGCGGAACATTGATTTAAGTATGCAAAATAGTACATTAAGAACTCGATGAATATCAATGAGTGAAAGAGAGGGAGAGAGTGTGTGAAAAAAGAAAGATAAAAAGAATGTGAGAGTGAGTGAAAGAGAAAGAGAGAATAGGGAAAGCCTTGTAATCTTTGTCTTGAAGTAAGGGTACACGGAAATGTCGTCCACGCGAGTTGCTTTAATTGAATCGATGACGTACTTAGATTATGGCTTGCCTATGATCTCTATAAGCATAGTTGTATAATCTGCTATAACAACATATTCGTCATTGATTAATTTACTTTCATTCGTATTTTGCCACTAAAAGTGTGTCGTTTGATCGAGAAACCGGTTGTTTCCTTGAGCCTTCATTAGGTTTCACGTACGACGACGTGATGCTGAGACCCAAATTTGTAATCGTTGTATCTATTTTACTCGAATCAATTTCTCGGGCCCGTATTGACAGTCGTTAATTGAAAATTACCCCGCGCGAGATATCCGGATTTTAATTCACGATTAGACGCGATCTTTTCATTTATGTCGTAATATTGCACTGCAAATATGGTGTCCTGATATTACAAACGTATCACATCACATATACAGCGTATGATTCAAGCAAAAAACTTTGAATTAACCGTAGAATTTACACTTGAGTATTTCACGTCAGGCAAATTTCAAGTAACGACCATTAACATGGGCCTTAGAGCATAATTTTATTATAAATGCTTCGTGTTTTCATGTATGTACGCCAACACAACGTGTGTCTGTACGCTGTTCTAAAAAAATGCGATCTGTTTTCCAGTGGATTATGGAATATACTTGGTATGGATCATAGTTGAAACGATCGGAAAAGAAATTGTCGGATATAGTGTCGCTGCTCATTTCCTATGAGATCTATGCTCTGTCAGGTGACAAAGAGGGAGATTGAAATAATGTTCCAAAAAGAAACATTCCATACACGCATGTAACGTGCATTAATGTAACACATGGCATGCAAGAATTGACTCCTTTTTTAAACACCTCTAATTTGTACTATTTTTATACAGTTAATTCACCGAGATATGTATATGTATATAATTATATATATATATAATATATATATATATATAACATGTACATACACATATGTATGTATAAATATATATATATATATATATAATTATATAATATATTGATGAATTAACTGTGCGTGTGTGTACACAACACACACACATACACACACACACACACACACACATTTAATGTCTTTGTCACTTCGTAATTTAGTAATGTCTCAATTCGTTCGTTGAAAAATACAAATTACGTACAATTACGTGCGAGAACTATAAATCGGTATTTACTGCGGCGTGTTAAAGGAAATAAATTTCGCTGGTGACAGTCGCATTTGTAAAAAGAAATACTCGAGTGTTTGTCAAGCAGGCATTATTTCCAATCTTCCTTTTCTCACGCATATTTTACTCGAAGTTTTATATACAAGGAAGAGTAACGTGTCATCGTAACGTAATATAAAAATGCCGAATAGAACTGGACAACCATAGGATATTAAACAGTACATGAGTGAAAAAATACAATCTATGTTTCTCATACAAACAAGATGGTTATTAGAGTCCGGAACTGTTACACTGGCATAATACACCTCGCACGAGATTTCATCGTACAGTCATATGACCGATAAATCACTATCCTACGGGTCTTACATATTTTATCGTACGCAAATTGAGCGCGTTTTTGAACGTTGATCCGCGGTGGTTTATGTCAACGCGATGCTTCCGGACCCCAACCACAATTCTTCATATTTAGAAACTTTACCGACGTCTACCTTCAGGCAATTCGTGTTCCGTTCGTGAACAGGGAGAGGAACAGTTTTGCTCGTGACGAGAATAGTAAAAAAGCCCTGTCGAAGACAAACTGAGATACACAAGGAAGACAGTGACTCTCCTCAGCCTAAACGTAAACCTCAAATGATCGTGATTTAGCGAAGAACATAGTCGAGATGGAAGATGACATAGTGTTTTTTATACGATTGTTGTACCTGGTTGTATCAGAACGTTTCTGCTCGCTGTATAAATCTCGGACGGAGAGAGAGAGAGAGAGAGAGAGAGAGAATCCGATGTGTATTTCGTTTCGGAAATGTGCAAAGAAGTACGCCCTTAGGATTTCTTTATATTTGTACATTTCATACAGAGTAAGGAGAGAAAAAAAAAGGAAAAAAGAAACTGATAATACTGACAATAAACAGAAGGATATTAAATGAAAGGATTGTTTATAGATTCTAAGATATATAAAATATACATAGAAATTAAGTATCAGCCTCACATGATCGGTTAGAAAGTTCATTCTTATAAGATCTCAGTCGACGACGATTAATTTGACTTCGCATTGATTCGCAAACGACGTGTTCAATGTGCGCTGTTATTCTTGAATCGCTATATTTATCATATACAAATGAGTATTAAAAACAATTCTATTACCAATTCATACGATATCTTCTGGCATCGACATTGATGGCACATTCTAGCGCCATTTAAGTCCTTATATATTTTATATATACAAACGCTTTATATACACATCACGTACATGTTCACGTGCGGTAGACCGAGAGTAAAAAGGCACCGTATTTCGCATCGTAGTCAATTCTGAATGTCCTGCAGTCTCTAAATTTTTGCACTTGTCTACATATATCTAAGGTGCTTGAGAAAAAGCATTGGAACTCAATAGAAAAATATTCCTCATCAAGAGCGAGACAGCAATACTCATGAGCAAATGACAAGATGCACTAGTCCGCATCCGGGACGAGGAGATTGAGACTGTCGTCCTTCACCGCCGAGCCCAGGAACTTCTCCTCGGCACCGCGTATGGAGAGGGTCGCCGCGGCGATAACGGTCCGCTTCTCGTCCATCATCGCCGCCCTGGCCCAGCTGGAGCCGTTGCACCTACCGCAGGTGTGCGACGGCATACGGTACAGACTGACGGTTCTGTTGCCGCAGTCAGCGCACTTGAAGAACCTCTTAACGGCGTCGACCACGCGCAACGGATGCCGCTGCTCCTTGCACATGTCCGACGCCGAGAACGCTGTGTATTTACATGTCAAGCATGTCACGGCTTTGCAGTTGACCTTGAAGGTGTTCATCATCTTCTCCTCCATCCGCTCCTTCGCCTCCAGCTTGTCGAAGTACTTCTCCTTCTCCTCATCATACGACTTCTCAATCAGATCGGTGTGCGAGGACTTGACCGCCAACAACTCCTTGAACTTGTCGTTTACTTTCGCCCTCTTCGCGTCCCGTTCCTCTCGCTCATCGTTTTCTCGCTGACGCTTTACGCTCTTCTCTAGCTTTTCTTGCGAGCTCACGCGCACTTGATTCGGATTTTTCGCCGTGATCTTCCCGTGCTGCTGCACCCACTTGATCGCGTTCATCTTGGCAGAGCGAACTTGTTGCTTGGTCGGCTCTGAGAAATCTATCATACCCTGTTTACAACCTGTTCCCAGTCGTGGGTTCGAAGACAAGGAGGTTAATGAGATCTTTTTGTCCATCGGGTTGGTTTTAAGTTTGCTGGCTGTGAGATTGCTCCCCTTCGGTTGCACTGAAGGGCTGGAACACAGAACCGGCCCGTTGGTTGTCGACTGCATCATTACTTGTTTCGTGGGCTGCCAGCCTCTCAACTTGTTGAGTCGCTCATGGTCCAATCTGGATTGATTGCTCGTCAGCTCGACGGTCACCCCTTTTTTCTTAACGTCGGTGATGACCTTAGTTTTCTGTTCGTCCTTCGTCTTCTTGGTCTTCTCATTATTACCTGAAGTCGCTCCGGCCAACAACTCCAGACGTGCGCGGTCTTTCTCATACAGCTTCTCATTGCGTTTTGCCAACACCGGCACAAACGGTGCCATTCCGTTATAAGGTTTCCGCACATTTTGCTTGTTCATACGATTCAACGTGTCGTCAGTGAAGCCATATCCGGTATTGCTCGACCGCAAGTCTGCACGTCGTGAACACTTCTTGTATTCTTGCTTGACGTGGTAGATGCAGTACTCGCATCGGCTGGTATTCACTACTGCGGTGCACGCATCCCCGTTCTTCTTCACCGATTTGCATTTACCCATGTCCTTGGACCGACCGAGAATCATCATTTTTTGGGGATTATCAATCGACAGTGTCGCCTGATCGACGTTGTCTTTACTCTCGAGTACATTCGGGTTGAGGATACCTATGACATTGCCGGTGATAGTCTTCCACAATTGTTTGTACGCATTGCTGAACAAGAAGACAGTCACAGTCTTCAAGTCGTCGGACAAATCGCTTATTTTCCAGATGCAATAAGAGGAACCCTTTTGCGAAGTCTTCGTATCCGATTTGCTGATTAACACGCCGGCGATCACCCAGTCGTTGTGCACATTGTCGGAGACGATGTGGTTCTTTATTCTGGATATTGTTACAGCTATCTTGCCTTCCATGCGTTCTTTCAATTCGGCGGAGGATACGAGTGGACTAACAATTCTTATTCCAAAGAAGGGATCGCTGTACACGTCTTTTGATATTAAAATATTATTTTTGTCGCTTTTTATAATATTGTTAAAGTCAAAAGTTTTGTTACAATTTTTTTTTGTAAAAGTCTTATTATTATCAAGTGATAATTTTACTGGTTGTTCAGGTTTGAAATGTCCTTTCAACAACTGCTTTACATCACGTCCATAGTTGGAATATTTTTGCTCCTCGAAATAACGCCTGTCTTCATCATCTGAGGAGTCCAGCTTGTCGTCATGAATCTCACTGGAGACTTTTTCATTGGCTGGTTTATCCTCATTGTCTATATTATTAGCTATAGAATCTAAAAAACTAAACTGCAGTTCTGTTAATGTTCTCTTTGCTTCAGGTGGTTTTGGCTGTTCAGATTGCTTTAGCTGTTCAGGTTGTTCAAACTGTTCAGATTGCTCTGTCTCCTCAGTATCATTTGATATAAGATTATTTAAAATATCTAAATCAGTATCACTGTCTTCGTGCTCCATTTTTAAAATGCTGTAAGGAAGAACAATATCAGCTTTAGAAATGTTTGATAAAATTATATATCTATATACTTATATACTATGCAATATTTAATTTGATGCTACTGCATATATAGAAATATATAATGAGGAAATATGAAATATTTGTCAGTCTTGGTGCTGATAGTAGTTAAAAGAATGTATCTTATTAATATTATAATGGTATAAAAATTAAAGGATTTAGAAAGGAAAATTACAAACTCTCACATGCCTGTAAAAATAAAACAGTGTCAAATAAAGTTAACTGATTTAATAAATTGTTAAAATTCATGATAAGTTGCTTGGTACTAAATCTTATGAATTAAAATCACCCTCTAAATTCATCGCTATGACTTAGAAAACAGCAAGAATGCATGAACAAATACTGATTCCTTGAATGTGTCATTAATTAAATGGCATTCATAACAGATGATTAATACCTGACTTACCTAACCTTACCCAACTATTGTTTCTGTACGTCACGATGCAAGCAGCGCAATAAAAATATTATTCATCAGTATCATAGGAATCATTTATGCATATGTATTCCCTAGTCACAGATAATTTTATATTACTTGATACTTTTCACAGACAACACACGCAGTGACAACCACTTATATGGTGACGTACATCATGGGGACATACATTTACCCGCCAATTTTCAGTAGATGAAAGTAGAGGGGAGTCGTCTTCATTGTTGTCTTCATTGCACTTTCTGTGACTCGCTCCCTTTCTCTTTCTTCTCCTCCTCCACGTTTATTGTACTAAGTGCAGCAAGTGCTACAACCTTCCTTTCCAACGCGGTTTCCCGAGCTCGTCGCAAGCGTTTCTGAAACGGGTATGATTTACGGATTATTAAAGCGCTCAATTTCCAAGAAAATAAAAGAAATAAGAAGTTTTATTTGAAAATAATTATTTCTTTATCGATGATATATCATTAGAGATATAAACATGTCCGCGAGATGAGCACATTTAACTTGTAATGATATACAATTAACCTTTAATTTCATAACGTACTCTTGTCTAGATGCTTTGTAAATACATACACTTTTCGCATAAAAATAACAAATATTTCTGTACGAATCATGTCGGAGTACAGTTTTCTTTAATTGAGATTATCTTTTAACGACATGCTTTATTATTTCAATATTCAGTATAATTAGAATTATTTTGGATAAATTGTATATGTCTCTCTCTCTATATATATAAGTGGTTAGAAGAAATGAGCGCATCACTGTGATTGGCTGATTGACAATCGTACACTTCGATTCTCGCAATCGTCGTGTGCGGCTAAGTTCAGTTATGGAAGGGGAAACGACGCGCCGGCTTGTACGCGATAACCGCTCCGTGTTTTCCGCGTTTTTAGCTCGCCTTAGGCGAGTTTTGCGTACGAAGTATCATCGGGAGTGCCGAAAATGAGTGTTGCGCGTTCGTCGCATCAAAATATCGCTGAACAATCGTCGGGAGTGAATATCTCGCGACGAGAACTATCGGGCAAAATATCGTGTGTTCGCAGCGTTATTGCATTTGGAGGTTCAAATAGCCGTTCCGCCTCCGAGTCGTCGCGGACGAGACGTCCGAAATATCGTCGGAAGTACCGAAATCAAATATGTCGCGCAGAAAATGAAAATTTTAATGAAATATTGTCGAAAAATTACCGGTAATGAATATCGGTAGTATAGAACGAAGTATCGTACAATCGTAGCCGATCGTAGCGACATATCAGTTCGAGGTCCAAATCGCTGCGATTTGCTATTGCCACCGGGGACGAATCTCATACGCGAAGTATTGCCGAAAAAATCTACCGCGCGTTTTTGTAGTATAATATCGTGCTGTGCATCGTTGAGTAGTGAGGATCGAAAAGTGAATATCTTGGCGAATCACCGGGAGTCGAGTGAAGCTCATCGCGTTTGTGACAGTTCAGCGTTCAACGGCTGTTGTGTTATGCCTCAACTCAAAGCCGAAGGATGTCGGTAAGCATCGATAAAACAGAGACTACAATTGTAAGTCAGTATGTTTTTGATTCTCGCATTTTTAGTTTCTCGACTTTCGCGTATTCCTCGTGCGAATTTCTATCAGACACGAAGTTGTCGAATATTTGGAAAAAATATTTTGCCTGAAGATGAGTTAATGGAAAGACATTATATAAAATAAAATGGGTAGCATTGTTGCACTCTATTGTTTTGTGATAAATATAAATATCTGCGATATTTGCCAGTAATAGACATTCATGTTCACAATGAGATATCGATTTCCTTCAAGTGAGATTGTCTCAGGCATTGAAATACTATCAAAGACCGACGGAAGTTCGCGTGACTGATTCAATATTCGGACGATTAGTCTAAGATACAGTATTAATTTTATGATTTACTATTATCCCGCAATGTTTCACAGATGCGCATACGATCAGATCTGTCAGCGCATCTGTGCGATATCTGAATAGTAATAAATTGTAAAATTGACATACCGTGTTATAGAATCGCTCGAATATTTATATCGGGAAATTTAGATCGGTCGGTAATGTCAGCGCTCTTGAATTATCTCCTGACTGCCAAGCCTCACTGACAGTCACGAAAATGGAAAATAATAAATAAATATTCACTTATAATTACGATCGAGACCTAGAAATAAGAAAAATATCGGGAGAGATTGTAAATTTAGATTTCGATTTTCCTTGTAGATAGCTTTTTGGTTTTTGACAGTGAGTTAGTGTAACTTATGTACCACTTATGGAATATAAAGCCTATATTTTAGTTCTTTCGGTGCATAGTTTATAATTTTCAACGTTATCATTACATTCTGGGTGCTCGGAAATTTTCGCTCAGCCCTGGTCCGCATTGCAGCGTGCGCTAGTCGGCGCGTCATAAATGTTTGCTTCTAGGATTCGCACATGCGGCACGCGCGTCTCCGCACAATTCCCACCGATTTCCGGCTTACTGTTAAACGATGACAAAAAGAAAAATGGAATTGTGCCATAAAATATTCATACAGATCCGCGTGGCTTGTGCCACTTTCAAATCGAGTTCATTTAGTTCGGCTTAGCTCTATTTTGTCAGCTTGTTACACGCAACGCTCCAACGTTTGCATGTTATAAGTGAACCAAATACGACTATCAAAGAGCTAAAAAAGAAAGGTCGGTTATTCCGGTGACGAGGAATCAATAGTGCTTGAAATTAATTGTGTGGCATTTATAAAATTAGGAAATTTTATTCGTAGCATTATCACGGCTGTGAGTGAGTTTTTAGTCGCGATTCTTCTTTCAACCCAAGCAAAATTTAGTGGACTGATCATGTACGTATATATGCACGTGTGTATATATATATACGTGTGGTTTTAGTGCAATTAATCTGGCCTACATAAGGCGCATGCAATTTATACGGAATGAAATGGGCATAATCCCATTTCTTTTGAACGGTGAAATCGCGTTATTTCTTTTTTATTGCCACCGCCTACATTTCGCAAATTAGCACAGTCGATGCGCTTCTGCAATATGTACGAGTCGTACATCGAAACATAATAATTTAATTTATTCCTGACCAGATACAATACTTAACGCTTCATTAATAATTAATGAATATACGGCTCATTTCATTACGCATGTTTTGGTAGAGTTTCGTCGGGGATAGAGTTACTAATGCTTTGTTAACAGCTTAATTACATATCGCTTTAATTCTTCTTGTGGGCATATAATTATTATCGCGGCAATTCGCCGAGCTCTTACCCCGACGGAAGGGAAACCGGCAATCTCTGGCGATCATTGTTCCCGAGTTATTACTCGCGATAAATTATTTGCGCCCCGCGGTAGTCGCCAAATCGTCGCACGATCTCTGATTCATCGTAGTCGTCGCCGTCGTCGCCGACGACGGCGATGCGCATAATAGCGCAATTTTCTATGGTCTAACGCGACATAATCGAGGATGTACTATTCTGTAGGGGACGTTACAGAAAGATCCGACCCTAAATTCGCCGCTGTATCTCTCGACAAAAGATCCGCAAAGCCGTTTCTTTATTCTTCGAATAACCAAACGAAGCTTTACCGAACGAATTTTACCAGCCAGAATATTGAAAAGTGTCGGACAAGCGCACTTAAAGCGCCGGAAAACTCTACTTTTCATCCGAACAAATTCTCTTTCTTTTCGGGATACTAATCTGCAGTGTTTATCCTTGCGGTATGCCTGTTAATAAATATTGAAAGGTAACGAACGCGCGCGACACACAGACACACTGGTGTTTTTTAACCGTATACATTCGTCTCTGAGCGTTAACGCGAAGCTGTCACAGTGACAGATTTCTGATCCGACGCGTCATGCTCGCTCTTCTTTGAACAGTCAATAAATGACAAATCTCCATGTGTGCGTGTCGTTCGAAAATCCTGATAATCCAGTCACGTGTTAAGGCCATCAAGTCGATTCGCATAAAAGGTACAACCATCGCTGTATTATTTGCAAATTCCCCGATACGAAACCGTCCGTTTCGCGAGGAGGACTTTTAAAAAGGAAAATCGCAAGCAATTCGTTCTATCTGCGATAGATCTGCGATAGTTCCAAAAACACGCTAGATCATCGTGCATGTGTATGACTCATCGCGAAAGCGTCGAAAGCTCGAGAGATCGCGCAGATCAACTCATTGCCTCACGTGAATCTTGAGGTGGGTGGGAGGAGAAAGAGGGCGGAAGAATAGTCATTTCGTTCGTGACGCGGGGTCGACAACGCTCGCGCTTACAAAGTCGCGTCGCCGTCGTTATTTATATACACACCGGTTAACGATTTTCGCGGCCGAGAGGTGGTCGAGCTTCCCACAAGCACGGAAATCGACCGGTCTCCTTATGAAATATTCAGACTGGATGTTGCAGTCGGACTAACTCAAGCAGTCAGTTTGCACTCGGGCGACTCTCTCAAGCTGCGGACGAGGAAGCGTGAGTCTGTCCAAGAAGGAGGTCCGGGGAATAGAGAAGAAGCAGGAAGGGAGGATTGTATCGAAAATACAATCTGGAAACGTTTAATCGGAAATCCCCCACGAGTCTCTGCATTAACCTTTCGCAACGACGACATAATTTCCGCATACGGATCGATATTACACACATACACGCGTCGTTTTTAACTTGGAGTCGACCTCGGGGGGTCAGTTTGCGGGTGATAATGTAACCCGCCGTCATTTTCGCCGAACTTCTCCAAAAATAGAGCCGATCAGACGATTTCTTCTTTTGCTGTTTCTTAAAAATAAATGTCTTAATTAATGACCGAGTCAACTCGTCGTAAAATGAACGGAATAATAAATTAATAAATTAATTATTTGAAGCTAAATAGACATAAAGCTGATTTTGTCGCGAAGCTTGAACATTTGCACTCTCAATAATTGCGTTATATTTTCCTCACTTGTGGAAATACTTCAATTTATTTATATCTTTTGAAATTACTGAAAGATTATTTAGTAATAAGAGGCTTTAATTTTGGAAAACATTGAGGTACAATAGTACGGAGATGTGACAGACAGATATTTGATATTAACCACCAATTTCTGAAATGTCTGCGAGCAAGTGTAATTTTCAGAAATTGGGTCAATCACTTTGCTTTTCTATTATTACGAACGCGTGCATAGATTCAAGGCATTAAATCCAAACGAGTCAAACGAATAATTATTT